GTAGGGGGACAAAATAGGGGCTCTTGCCAGAGAGCCTTCGAAGTCAGTGCAAAGAGACTGGGGCAGGAACTGGCCGGGAGCAGAGGAACAACAGCTAATGGGGCCGTAACAGGAAATGAGTTTTTTGTTTGTTTGTTTTTTGTTTTTGTTTTTGTTTTGGCTTTTTGCATCACACCTAGTGATGCTCAGGGGTTACTCCTGGTGGTGCTTGGGGGACCATATGGGATGCCGGGGATTGAACCTGGGTTGGCCCCGTGCAAGGCAAACGCCCTACCCCCTGTAACACAAAATTAGGGAGGGATGGGTGTGCGAAAATCTAAGATGCTTTATAAACATCCCACCACCACTAGAGTCAGCAGTAAGAACCATTAATACAAATTATATATTGCTACTGATAATTTTTGTATTATGTAACAATAACAACATTATGTAACTATACTAGTTTGTAATTATGTAACACAATTACAATGTTTATATAATTGTAATATATTATTAACAAATAACACATTGAGAAATAGCACAGCGGGTAGGGTGTTTGCCTTGCACAGGGCAGACCCAGATTCGATCCCCCACATCCCATAGGGTCCCCCCCCCCCTCTGAGCACCGCCAGGAGTCATTCCTGAGTGCAGAGCCAGGAGGAACCCCTGAGCATCACTGGGTGTGGCTCAAACCCAAAATAAAATAACATATTGCTACTAGTCTTTATAATAATAGTAGCACTGTCCTCCCCGTTGCAGGCACCAGTAACTTCTCCATTGTGAGACGTGTTGTTACTGCTTTTGGCGTATGGAATCCACCACGGGGAGCTTGCCAGGCTCTGCCCTGCGGACGGGATACTCTCGGTAGCTTGCCGGACTCTCCGGGAGGGCCGGAGGCACATACATCTTTTTTTTTTTTTTTTTTTTTTTGCTTTTTGTGTCACACCTGGTGATGCACAGGGGTTACTCCTGGCTCTGCACTCAGGAATCACTCCTGGCGGTGCTCAGGGGACCTTATGGGATGCTGGGAATCGAACCCGGGTCGGCCGCGTGCAAGGCAAACGCCCTACCCGCTGTGCTATCTCTCCAGCCCTTATTTTAGTTTTTAAAAAAATTATTTTATTTATTTTTTTTGCTTTTTGAGTCACACCCGGCAATGCCCAGGGGTTCCTCCTGGCTCTGCACTCAGGAATCACTCCTGGCGGTGCTCGGGGGGCCATATGGGATGCTGGGAATCGAACCCGGGTCGGCCGCGTGCAAGGCAAACACCCTCCCCGCTGTGCTATCGCTCCAGCCCCGACATACATCTTTTCACTTGGGGCGGTCATACTCAAGGCTCACTCCTGGGGGTGCTCGGGGGACCCTATGGGGTGCTGGGAATCTAATCCCGGCTTGGCCGCGTGCAAGGCAGACGCCCTCCCCGTCGGACCATCACCACTACCGAGGCCTGGGCTGCGCTAGGGGTTGGGTGGAGGGAGTTCTCCCCGTCCCCCCATAACTGGGTTCCCCCTCTCCTCCCCCCACCCCCGCAGGCCAGTCTGGAGCCGGTAACAACTGGGCCAAGGGCCACTACACGGAGGGCGCGGAGCTGGTGGACGCCGTCCTGGACGTGGTGCGCAAGGAGGCCGAGAGCTGCGACTGTCTGCAGGGCTTTCAGCTCACCCACTCCCTGGGTGGGGGCACGGGCTCGGGCATGGGCACACTCCTCATCAGCAAGATCCGGGAGGAGTTTCCCGACCGCATCATGAACACCTTCAGCGTGGTGCCGTCGCCCAAGGTCTCGGACACGGTGGTGGAGCCCTACAACGCCACCCTGTCGGTGCACCAGCTGGTGGAGAACACGGATGAAACGTACTGCATCGACAACGAGGCGCTGTACGACATCTGCTTCCGCACCCTCAAGCTCACCACGCCCACCTACGGGGACCTCAACCACCTGGTGTCGGCCACCATGAGCGGGGTCACCACCTGCCTGCGCTTCCCCGGGCAGCTCAACGCCGACCTGCGCAAGCTGGCCGTGAACATGGTGCCCTTCCCACGCCTGCATTTCTTCATGCCCGGCTTTGCACCCCTGACCAGCCGGGGCAGCCAGCAGTACCGGGCCCTGACGGTGCCCGAGCTCACCCAGCAGATGTTCGACGCCAAGAACATGATGGCAGCGTGCGACCCCCGCCACGGCCGCTACCTGACCGTGGCCGCCGTCTTCCGTGGCCGCATGTCCATGAAGGAGGTGGACGAGCAGATGCTGAGCGTCCAGAGCAAGAACAGCAGCTACTTCGTCGAGTGGATCCCCAACAACGTGAAGACGGCCGTGTGCGACATCCCCCCGAGGGGCCTGAAGATGGCAGCCACCTTCATCGGCAACTCCACGGCCATCCAGGAGTTGTTCAAGCGCATCTCCGAGCAGTTCACGGCCATGTTCCGCCGCAAGGCCTTCCTGCACTGGTACACGGGCGAGGGCATGGACGAGATGGAGTTCACCGAGGCCGAGAGCAACATGAACGACCTGGTGTCCGAGTACCAGCAGTACCAGGATGCCACGGCCGAGGAGGGCGAGTTCGAGGAGGAGGCCGAGGAGGAGGTGGCCTAGAGGGGGAGGAGGCCTGGGAGGCGGTGGCTTCTCCGGGGCTGCCCCCCCGAACCCCGAACCCCGCTACACTGCACCCCATCGGCCCTCCCCAGGCTCACCACCGAGCCCCCTCTTCAGTCTTCAGTTCCCCCCCCCACCGTGCACTGGCTTCTGCGATCCAACCGCACCCCCGGAAGAAGAGAAGACCCCCCTTTCCTTCCCGGACCCCCCAGCTCCTCTCCCTAACACGTGTTTGATCCCCAAACTGACATCCCCCCCATCCCTCCCCGAGCCAACCCGGGCTTTCGAGAGAGTAACCCCGTGTGGGGTGTTGGGGTGGAAGCCCGGGGATGGATAGAAGGAAAGCCCAACTCTCTCCCCCTCTGCTTGGCCCCCAATAAATGCATCGCTGTCTTGTGTGTGTTTCTGGTGTGGATTTTTCCTCTCCCCCGGGGGAAGCAGGTGGGGGTGGGAAGGAGACAGGTTCCCAAATTGGGCTCAGCCTTGCTGCTACCATATTTCATGTAAGCATTGCACCTTTTTTATTTTTATTTTATTTTATTTTTTTTTTTGCTTTTGGGGTCACACCCAGCGACGCTCAGGGCTTACTCCTGGCTCATGCACTCAGGAATTATTCCTGGCGGTGCTCGGGGGACCATATGGGATGCTGGGAATCGAACCCAGGTCGGGCCGTGTGCAAGGCAAATGCCCTCCCCGCTGTGCTATCACTCCAGCCCCCCTTATTTTAGTTTTTATTTTTATTTTTTAATTTTATTTATTTATTTATTTTCCTTTTTGGGTCACACCCGGCAATGCCCAGGGGTTGCTCCTGGCTCTGCACTCAGGAATGACTCCTGGCGGTGCTCGGGGGACCATATGGGATGCTGGGAATCGAACCCAGGTCGGGCCGTGTGCAAGGCAAAAGCCCTCCCCACTGTGCTATCACTCCAGCCCCCAGCATTGCACCTTTAAAAAAGAATAAATTCAGTCCAAAAATCGGTTCATAACCTTTGGAGTTTTTTTTTTCTTTCTTTTTTTTTTTCTCAGTTTAGGCTATACCGGGGGTAACGTTCAGGGCTGACTCCTGGATCTGTACTCAGGAATCAGGCCTGGAGGAACTCGGGGAACCCTACGGAGAGCCGGGAATCAAGCCCGGTTTGGCCACATGCCTGGCAAGTGACCTACCTGCTTTTTTTTTTTTTTTTTGGCTTTGTGACCTGGCGATGCTTTCTCCTGGCTCTGCACTCAGGAATTAGTCCTGGCGGTGCTCAGGGGACCCTATGGGATGCTGGGAATCGAACCCGGGTCGGCTGCGTGCAAGGCGAACGCCCTACCCGCTGTGCTATCACTCCAGCCGTTTTAAAAAACAAACAAAAAAAGTTTATTCTCTCCCAGTGTTCTCTCTCTCTCTCTTTTTTTTTTTTTTTTTTTTTTTTTTTTTTGCTTTTTGGGTCACACCTGGTGATGCTCAGGGCTTCCTCCTGGCCCCACACCTCCACACTCAGGAATTACTCCTGGCGGTACTTTGGAGGACCATATGGGATGCTGGGGATTGAACCCAGGCCAATTGTGCTCAAGGCAAACGCCCTACCCAGCCCCGTACCCGCTGTTTTATCTCTCAGGTGTGGTTCAGTTTGGGGGGGCTACACCCAGCTGTGCTCACAGCTCACCCCTAGCTCCCAGTTCAGGGAGCACCCCTGGTGGTGCTTGGGGGACCCTGTGAGGTCCCCCGGGTCAAACCTATGTTGGCCACAACCAAGCGGCCTCCCCACTATCCCATCCCTGGGGCCCCAAATCACTGTTTAAACACTGTCCTTTGGGCCTGTTTATGTCTTTGGTTTGTTTTCTGGCCACTCCTGGCCAGGGGCTCAGGGAACCCTGTGGGAGGCCGGGGATCGAACCCGGGGCGCTGGCATTTCCCGCTGTGCTGTCTCTCTCTCTGGGCCGTGCCCACCTGGTGTTAACTCTCGATGTCACGACCACTCCCAGGGACGGGCTCGGGCCTCTCCGTGTGATGGGCACTCTCTGCGGTTGTGTGTGTCCATGCCGCTGTCCTCTGAGGGCTGCTGTCTGTCCTGGGTCCAGGCGCCCCCCAAGAGCCCCCTCCCGGGCAACCCCTCGTGGTTCTGTGGGGGATCCACGCTCAGCAGGGACGGGGCCAAAAGAACATTGAAGAAGAGGAAGAAGCAGAGACCAGGCCTGAACTCTTGACTGTGACACAGGGGGACGGGCAGGGGCTGGGGGAACAGGGATGAAGGGGTCATGGCAGACACCAGAGGTCGCCCAGCCTGGCAGGATGAGAAGGGGGGTCGTGGCTTGGAGGCCGCACCGTCTGCAGAGCCCACCCTCCTGGGGGCAAGGCAGGACGCCCGGGTTCTGTGCCCTGGGTGGGGGCGGGGGCCTGCCTCTGGGGACGTCACCCGCTAAACTTCCTCTCTCAGCCACACAGGAAGCAGAGTCGGCTCAGGGCGCAGCCCCGGGCCTCCGAGCACAGCCCCTGGGACCCCTGGGGAGAGAGAGGGCTCCTCCGGCCAGCCTGCAGTGACCATGGGATCCAGAGCTGAGTAAGAAGCTGCCCCTTCCCTAGCCCTCTTCGGAGCTGCCCAGACCAGCGCTGGTCCCAACCAAGCACCAGCACCAGCAAGCACTGCTGAGCTAGGCCGGGCCGGACAGCGGGTCCCTAGGGGCAGGTGTCTGGTAAATCTCAGCAGGATTCTTGGCCGCTCCGGGCCCTACTCTCTCCTTCCCAGGCTCTGAGCGACTGTTTTGCTACTCAGAGTGTGAGATCTTGGCTTGAGGATGGGGTCACACTTCCGGGAGCCCCGGGGTAGGGGGTGCGCAGCTGGGGGAGGGGCGGGGCGGAGGGAATCGTGTGTGTGTGTGTGTGTGTGTGTGTGTGTGTGCACATGTGGTTGTGTGGGATATGGGTCAGCAGGAGCCTGAGAACTGGGGGTCCCCTCGTGAGGACTCTGTGTCTTTGCTAAGGTAACAGAATTCCCTGCATCTTTTCCATCTGCAGTTAACGCTCATTTTCTTCCTCTGGCACCCTCGCCAGCGATAGTACGACCGGTTGGCGTTTGTCTTGCATGCGGCCAACCCAGGTTCGATCCCCGGCATCCCATATGGTCCCCCAGCACCGCCAGGAGTAATTTCTGAGTGCAGAGACAGGAGGAACCCCTGAGCATTCCTGGGTGTGACCCAAAATGCAAAAAAAAAAAATCTCTCTCTCTCTCTCTCTCTCTCTCTCTCTCTCTCTCTCTCTCTCTTTCTCTCGCTCTCGCTCTGAGCCCATTCCCAGAGCTCTGCGGGTGGGGGATATTGGTGGAGGTGGCCAGGGAAGGTTCACAGGGGCACCGGGCACGCTGACCTCCCTCCTCAGACACTAGGGGTCAGCTCCTGTTGTCCCCCAAAATCTCACACAGAGATACAGACACACAAGCAAACATGGACGTTGACCGTGCCCGCTCACACTTTTGGGATGCACACACAGGCCCAGGCCGCCTAGCACAGGTACTGGACAGTTGCAGCCTTGCAGGTCGATGTGGAATGGAAAACAGAACACACAACGTGAGTGCTTGCACCTGCATTCACACACCTGCAAACACACACTTGCATACACACACCTGCAGACACACACACCTGCAGACACACACCTGCGTACACACACCTGCAAACACACGCTTGTATACACACACCTGCAGACACACACCTGCATTCACACACCTGCAAACACACACTTGCATACACACACCTGCAGACACACACACCTGCAGACACACACCTGCATTCACACACTTGCAAACACACACTTGCATACACACACCTGCAGACACACACACCTGCAGACACACACCTGCGTACACACGCTTGTATACACACATCCGCAAACACACACTTGCATACACGCCTGCCCACACACACCTGCATACACACACCTGAGCACACACACCTGCAAACACACACAACTGCGTGCACACCTGCATGCACACACCTGCATACACACACCTGCGTACACAACCTGCATACACGTCGGCGTACACAACCTGCATGCACACACCTGGATACACACACCTGCATACACAACCTACATACACATACCTGCATACACACACCTCCATGCTCACACACCTCCGCTCCCACATATGTCATCTCACGCCCATATGCTCACACAATGACACGATCACACTCAGCTCTGCACACCCAGAACCAACACCGTCGCCCCCACTGCTTCACACACCCACTGCCACCAGGGCTCAGGGGCCCAAGTGTCCCCCGCACCACCCTCAGCTAACCCACCCCCCCCACCCCGACGGAAGCGCCTCTGCACCAGAGTCCTCCTGTGTCCACAGGGAGGAGCCCCCCGCCGTGTTCGACTGGTTCTTCGAAGTGGCGCGTCCCCCGTCCCTGCAGGATGGTGAGCCGGGGGGCTGTGGGTTTGGGGCAGCTGGAGGGGGAACTGGGACCCCGATCAGTGGGGCCTTCTCGTTTCTCCCCGCAGACCCCCTCATCCTTCACCAGTTTCCCCGGAACTTCCGGGACCAGGTATGCAGGCTGGGCGCATGCTTCCCCTTGCTGGGGGTGGGGGTTATGGGGCGGGGGGCGCTCGCTGAGGGGAGCCTCCCAAGATCCAGGAATCATCTCTCTCCGCACGCAGGAGGCCATGCAGATGGTGCCGAAGTTCTGCTTCCCCTTTGATGTGGAAAGGTATGGGGGGGCATGGAGATCCCCCAGGGCCAGGAACTCGCACCTCTAAGGAACCCTTGAGATTCAAACAGCCAGATGCCCTGATACCCAAGGACCCCGAGACCCAGATACTCTGGGAACCCCAAACCCCAATAACCAGGCACCCCAAAACCCAGATACATACCCAGAGACCCAAAAATCCAGGGACCCAATGCCCACATACCCAGGTTCCCTGATGCCCCCATAACCAGGGACCCCAACATTCATACATCCAGGTACCCGGAGACCCAGAAATCCAGAGCCTGGGCCTTCAGTCTCTCACCCCTAGTGGCCTCTGCTCCCAGGGCCCGGGCTGGTGGACCCCATTCCAGGAGATCGTTGGGGGTCTGGGGACTCTGAGCCTTTTCCACTGACAGGGAACCGCCCAGCCCAGCTGTCCAACATTTCACCTTCGCCCTCACGGACCTCACCGGCACCCGTCGATTCGGTTTCTGCCGCCTTCGGCCGGGAGCTCAGAGCTGCCTCTGTATCCTCAGGTGGGCAGGCTGGGGTGCAGGGAGGGACCCTCCCCCCACCTTGGGACCCTGGGATGCAGATGTGTGTCTTTTCACCCCAGCCACCGGCCTTGGTTCGAGGTGTTCTACAAGCTGCTAAACACAGTGGGGGACCTCCTGGCGCAGGATCAAGTGAGATCACACCCTTTTTCCTTGGAGGGTGGGGAGGGCTCCCAGTGCACCCACCAACCCCACCCCCCAGGCCGGCCACCCCAGGCCTGACCTGATCCACCCAGGACCTCCAAGCCTGAGATCAAGCCCCCCTCCCCCCAGCCCACTTTTCTTACCCCGCCATGACCCCAACCTCACACAGGTTCCTGAGGCCGAGGAATTGCTACTTGAGATCCTGCAGGAACCGCTGCCAGGACCCCAAACCTCTGCGGGGCTGAATCTGGTGAGCGGGGGCTGGAGCGATAGCACAGCGGGCAGGGCGTTTGCCTTGCACGCGGCCGACCTGGGTTCGATTCCCAGCATCCCATATTGCCCCCTGAGCACCGCCAGGAGTAATTCCTGAGTGCATGAGCCAGGAGGAACCCCTGAGCATCGCCAGTGTGGCCTTCAAATTAAAGATAGGGGCTGGAGCAATAGCACAGCGGGGAGGGCGTTGGCCTTGCACGCGGCCGACCTGGGTTCGATTCCCAGCATCCCATAGGGTCCCCCGAGCACCGCCAGGAGTAACTCCTGAGTGCATGAGCCAGGAGTAACCCCTGTGCATGGCCAGATGTGACCCCAAAAACAAAGAAGCTGGTGAGCAGCCTCCTTCCTGCTGGCCGTTCAGGCCGATGGGGAGGTTTGCACCCCAGACCCTGAGGGTCACCCCCCACCTGTCTCTCTCCCCCAGGTCTGTGGAGGAGCAGTTTCCAGCACTCACTGCATCCTGCCCCCTGCTCCCGGGAACAGCAGACCGGTGGGTACCGAGTCTGGGGGTACCAAGGAAGCTAGGGCCCCCAGGTGAGACCAACCTCCGACTGACCTATCTCCGCACACCCCACTTTCAACAGCTTTCCTGCTTCGTGGCCCCAGACTCAGCCGGTCTGCCATCCATTCCCGAGAATGTGAGTAGGGGCGTGAGAGGGAAAGAAGGGGAAAAGGGATGGAAGGGACCAGAACCCAGAGAAGGATGCCAAATCCTGGGATTCCTTTGCAATCAGCATTACACTCTGGAGGACCAGAGACATGAGAGTTTTTTTTTTTTGGGTCCCATTCGCCTAAGCACCAAAAAAAAAAAAAGAGCCGGGAGTAACCCCTGTGCATCGCCAGGTGTGACCCAAAAGGAAAAAAAAAAAAAAAAAGCAGAGACCAGACTCCACCCAGACTCCACCATGATTGGCCAGAACTAGGCTGGCCCCGCCCCCTGGACGAAGCAATTGGGTAGCATGAATTACTAGCCCCGCCCCTCGTAAAAGGTCGTGAGGGGTGGAGCCTATCTATCCCAGGGGGCGGTACCAAGACGGGCTTCTTTATAGCTCCGCCTCCTTTGGGCGGAGCCAATAGGAGATGGGCGGGGCCAACCCTAGCCTTGCTTAAGGGCGTGGTCGGGCGGTGCACAGGGGTTCCTCCTGGCTTTGCCACTCGCCTGGCTTTGCTTTTTTTTCTTTTGCTTTTTGGGTCACACCTGGCCATGCACAGGGGTTACTCCTGGCTCATGCATTCAGGAGTTACTCCTGGCGGTGCTCGGGGGACCCTATGGGATGCTGGGAATCGAACCCGGGTCGGCCGCGTGCAAGGCAAACGCCCTCCCCGCTGTGCTATCGCTCCAGCCCCGAGATGAGAGTTTTTTTCATGCAGGAGAGCAGGGGGGGAATCTCTGCACCCCTGAGTGTCTGGGTGCAGCCCCCTGGCGCTGCCAGGTGTGACTCAGCGCCCAAACCAGCCAACAAACATTGCGCCCTCATCCTCAGAGGAACCTCACGGAGCTGGTGGTGGCAGTGACGGATGAAAACATCGTGGGACTGTTCGCTGCGCTCCTAGCCGAGAGAAGGATCCTCGTGACCTCCAGCAAGCTGAGCACGGTGAGAAGGGACGGCTCTGCCCTGGGGACGGGGCGACCTGTCTGATTCCTAGACTAATCCTCCTCCCTCACCCACACCCCACCCCACCCCGCACCCACGCCCTGAGAGCAATGAGCACCAAAGGCAAAATTCTTACTCTGCCCTGGAAAAAGTTTGGTGGAGTTGGAGCCTGGCTCTGCCTTAGAACTGCAGGATGGGAGAGGAACAGACACAGAATGACTGCATGCATTGGTGGGATATAAAATATATATATATATATATATATATATATATAGTAGGGGCTGGAGCGATAGCACAGCGGGTAGGGCGTTTGCCTTGCACGCGGCCAACCCAGGTTCAAATCCCAGCATCCCATATGGTCCCCTGAGCACCGCCAGGGGTAATTCCTGAGGGTAGAGCCAGGAGTAACCCTTGTGCATCGCCAGGTGTGACCCAAAAAAGCAAAAAAAATTTTAAAAATTAAAAAAATAAAAGATATTTATAGGAGCTGGAGTGATAGCACAGCGGGTAGTGCGTTTGCCTTGCATGCGGCTGACCCGGGTTCGATTCCCAGCATCCCATATGGTCCCCCGAGCACCGCCAGGAGTGATTCCTGAGTGCAAGAACCAGGAGTAATCCCTGAGCATCGCCAGGTTGCCTTGCATGAGTCTGACCTGGGTTCGATTCCCAGCATCCCATATGGTCCCCTGAGCACTGCCAGGAGTGATTCCTGAGTGCAAGAACCAGGAGTAACCCCTGTGCATTGCCAGGTATGACTCAAAAAGAAAAAAGAAAATAAAATTTATAGTAGAAGAGAAATATCCATTGCCAGGGAAAATAGAGGTATGGAGGACTGGTCAATGGTTGGATCTAACCACAAGTGTGTGTGGGGCTGAGGGTAGATAAGATAGAGAAGAAACCGGTATGATAATAATTGCTGGGAATGACCACACTGGACAAGATCTGGGGGTTAAAGGTAGGTAAAGGGATAGGCTGATAACCTTTCAGTATCAGTATTGCAAGTCACATTGTCCAAAAGCGGGGAGAGAGAGAGAGAGAGAGAGAGAGGGAGAGAGAGAGAGAGAGAGAGAAAGAGAGAGAGAGAGAAGAAAAGCACCTGACATGGAGGCAGGCAGGGGTGAAGGGTGGAGGGTGATGGGAGGGAACCTGGGAACACTGGTGCTGTACACTGGTGGAGGGATGGGTGTTGGAATACTGTGTGACTGAAACCCAATCATGAACAGCTTTGTAGGGGTATATCTCCAGTGATGTAATCAAAAAAGCTTTGTTTTGTTTTTTTTTAAAGGGGGTGGCTGGAGCGATAGCACAGCTGGTAGGGCGTTTGCCTTGCATGCAGCCGACCCAGGTTCGATTCCCAGCATCCCATAGGGTCCCCCGAGCACCGCCAGGAGTCATTCCTGAGTGCATGGGCCAGAAGTAACCCCTGTGCATCGCCGGGTGTGACCCAAAAAAGCAAAAAAAATAAAAAATAATAAATTAAAAGGGGGGACGAAGCAGTTGTACAGCGAGTAGAGTGTTTGCCTTGCATTTGCCTTGTGCACAGTGGACCCAGGTTCAGTGCCCAGCATCCTTTATGGTCCCCCAAGCACCAGCAGGAGTAATTCCTGAGTGCAGAGCAAGGAGTAACCCTTGAGCATCGCCGGGTGTGACCCAAAAAGAAGTTAAAAAAAAAAAAAAAAAGAACTGCAGGATGGATTGCGCTATAACTCCTCCTTTTAGGGGAAAAGTAAAAACACACACAGAGACCAGACTCCACCACGATTGACCAGAACTGGCTCTGGACGAAGCAATTGGGTAGCATGAATTACTAGCTCCGCCCCGAGTAAAAGATCGGGAGGGGTGGAGCCTAACATCAGCCTCAGGGGCGGTACCAAGTCAGGCTTCTTTATAGCTCCGCCCACTTTGGGCGGAGCCAATGGGGTAGGCGGGCCCAATCCTAGCCTTGCCTCCTCCGTGCTGGGACCAATCAGTACAGCCGTTGCCCCCGAAGGGCGTGTTCGGGGCGGGCTCATTACTAGCTCCGCCTCTTTTGGGGGCGGAGTCAGTGAGCAAGGCAATCCCCAGACTTGTGAATTGCTCCTTTGCCTAGGAAGAACCAGGTTCTGCTGAGTCCCGGTTTACACCATCTGAAAATGCCATTTGCCAAATATTTATTTGGCCTTCATGTGCTGGGCTTGGGGTCCCGGTTCCGAGAGATAGAACAAGGAATGAGTCGCTTGTCTTGCATCCTGCACACTTCCCGTTCAATCTCAGAGCACTTACCAGGGATCACACTTGTAGGAAATAACAGTGTTGGCTGGGTGGGAGGCAGAGAGCAAGCTCTGACTCCAGACTCCCCCCCCAACCTGTCCTCAGCTGACATCCTGCGTCCACGCTTCCTGTGCTCTGCTCTACCCCATGCACTGGGAGCACGTGCTAATCCCCACGCTGCCGCCCCATCTGCTGGACTATTGCTGGTGAGGCTCGGGGGGGCCTGCAGGGAGGAGCCTGGGGTGGGGAAGAGAAACCCAGACAACACCTGCCTGATCGATGATCTGTCCTCTCTCGCGTCCGCGTCCGCAGCGCGCCCATGCCCTACCTCATTGGAGTGCACGCCAGTCTCGCCGAGGTGAGGCGAAGGGACAGAGGGGGCGGGAGGGGGAGGGTGGTCCTTCCCTCTGCCTTCCCCCCCACCCCACCCCAGCCAGAGATGCTTAGGCTCGGGGCACGCCCCTCCTCCACGCAGAGAGTGCGGGACAAAGCCCTCGAGGACGTGGTGGTCATGAACGTGGATGCCAATACCTTGGACACGCCGTTCGACGACCTGCAGACGCTCCCTCCGGATGTGGTCAGTGCCGGACCGTCCAGACCCGGTTGGGAGCTATAGACGCTCACGCCCAGCTGCACGCCTCTCGGCCTCTGTCTGTCCTCCCCAGGTGTCCCTGCTGCGGCTGCGGCTAAGGAAGGTCGCGCTGGCCCCCGGGGAAGGCGTGTCGCGGCTGTTCCTCAAAGCCCAGGCGCTGCTTTTTGGAGGGTACCGCGAGGCCCTGGTCTGCAGTCCGGTGAGCAACGGGGATGCCAAGCGCGCCCTCGTGTGGGCTTCCGAAGGGTGGTTCGGATTCAGAAAAAAAATGATGGGTGGGACCAAAGTGACCGCACAACAAGAAGGGAACCCACCCCCCCACCCCACCACCCCAACCCAAGCACAGCCAGGAGGAACTCCTGAATGCAGAGCCAGGAGCAACCCCTGTGCATCGCCGGGTGTGACCCAAAAAGCAAAAAAAAAAGAAAAAAAAAGAGGAGAACTTGCCTTGCACGTGGCCTAGCTGGGTTCAATTCTTAGCATCCAATATCCGTCCCCTGAGTAACGCCAGTTCCCTGAGCTCAGAGCCAGGAGTAAGCCCTGAGAACTTCAGAGTATGCCCCGTACCTCTGTGAGAAAATTGGTATGCCAGGTTGTAGAGATTGTACAGGGTTGGTATTTGTTTGTTTGTATGTCTTGGGTTTTTCTCTTTTTTGCTCTTTTTTTGGGGGGGGGGGGCGTTCATACCCGGCGATGCTCAGGGGTTACTGCTGACTCTGCACTCAAGAATTGCTGCTGGTAGAGGCCGGAGTGATAGCACGGTGGGTAGGGCGTTTGCCTAGCACGTGGCCGACCGGGGTTCGATCCCCGGCATCCCATAGGGTCCCCCAAGCACCGCCAGCAGTAATTCCTGAGTGCAACGCTGAGCATAGTTGGGTGTCACCAGAAAAAAAAATTGCTACTGGCAGCACTCAGAGGGTCCTACAGGATGCTGGGGATCAAACCGGGGTCGGCTATGCAAGGCGAATGCCCTACCTACCTGCTGTACGATTGCTCCAGCCCCCGATGTTGTACAGGGCTTAAGGTTCTTGCCTTGCATGCTGCCAACTCAGGCTCAAATTCCTGGCATTGTATGTGGTTTCTGAAGTACAGGAGTGATGAACTCAAAATCCCACTGTGGATTACTGGCATGGCCAGAAATCTGATCTTCTGACTCTTTTCTTTTCTTTTTTTGGTGGGGGACACCCAGCACTGCTCAGGGCTGAATCCTAACTGAGCTGGGAGAAATAAGGGACCATATGGGATGCTGGGGATCAAACAGGGTGCAAACTATGTGCAGGGCAAGCACCCTGCCCTCTGTGCTATCTCTCTGGCCCTCAATCTACTAACTTTCTTTTCTTTTTTTTTTTTGCTTTTTGGGGGTCACACCTGGTAATGCTCAGGAGTTACTACTGGCTCTGTACTCAGAAATTACTCCTGGAGGTACTCAAGGAACCATATGGGATGCGAGGGGTCGAACCTGGGTTGGCCATGTGCAAGGCAAACGCCCTACCCGCTGTGCTCTCGCTCCGGCCCCTCGATCAGCTCATTTTCAACACCCTCTGGGAATGCAGCTAGACCACAAAATCTTGGGGGAAGGGTTTCTATTCCGTAACCATTTGTTGTTTCTTTCTGCTCTTCCTTGACAATTTGTCAGGAATCTGCTTCCCATACAGCCTCTTCCTGCATTCCAGCCTATGAACCCCCAAGTCAGGTTCTGTCCACCCCCCTCTGTCCACCATCGTGCCCAAGGCTCCCGCTGCCCTCCATGTAAAGGCCCAGTCATCCCCCAAGCCTGCGAGACCCTGAATAGTATCAGGCACACCACAGGCGCACAAACAGCCTTTGCTACATGGCTGTAAGGTGGAATGAGAGACGCAGCTGGGGTCCAGGAGAGCCGCAGGAAGCTCTGCATGCCGGTCCTTCTTCCAGGGCCAGCCTGTGACCTTCAATGAAGAAGCCTTCTTGGCCCAGAAACCCGGGTCGCCCCTGCAGGCCTTCCATCAGCGGGCTGTGCACCTGCAGCTGTTCAAACAGGTGTGCTGGAACTCTGGGAGAGCGGGAGCAATGGGCGGGGCCACAAAGAGGGCGGAGCTATGTCTAGAGGGGGCAGGGCTAGAGCCATAGGGGCGGGGCTATGGCAATAGAGGTGGGGCTAGTGTGCTGAGGCCAGCGCTAAGGGGCGGGGGTAGAGCTATGTGGGCGGAGCTATAGTTGGATGGAATGGGCTAGAGAGAGAATGAGAGGGGCGGGGCTAGAGCTATATGGGCGGAGCTATAGTTGGATGGAATGGGCTAGAGAGAGCATGAGAGGGGCGGGGCTAGAGCTATGTGGGCGGAGCTATAGTTGAATGGAATAGGCTAGAGGGGGAATGAGAGGAGCGGGGCTAGAGCTATGTGGGCGGAGCTATAGTTGGATGGAATAGGCTAGAGAGAATGAGAGGGGCGGGGCTAGAGCTATGTGGGCGGGGCTATAGTTGGATGGAATAGGCTAGAGAGAATGAGAGGGGCGGGGCTAGAGCTATGTGGGCGGAGCTACAGTTGGATGGAATAGGCTAGAGAGAATGAGAGGGGCGGGGCTAGAGCTATGTGGGCGGAGCTATAGTTGGATGGAATAGGCTAGAGAGAATGAGAGGGGCGGGGCTAGAGCTATGTGGGCGGAGCTATAGTTGGATGGAATAGGCTAGAGAGAATGAGAGGGGCGGGGCTAGAGCTATGTGGGCGGAGCTACAGTTGGATGGAATAGGCTAGAGAGAATGAGAGGGGCGGGGCTAGAGCTATGTGGGCGGAGCTACAGTTGGATGGAATAGGCTAGAGAGAATGAGAGGGGCGGGGCTAGAGCTATGTGGGCGGAGCTATAGTTGGATGGAATAGGCTAGAGAGAATGAGAGGGGCGGGGCTAGAGCTATGTGGGCGGAGCTACAGTTGGATGGAATAGGCTAGAGAGAATGAGAGGGGCGGGGCTAGAGCTATGTGGGCGGAGCTATAGTTGGATGGAATAGGCTAGAGAGAATGAGAGGGGCGGGGCTAGAGCTATGTGGGCGGAGCTACAGTTGGATGGAATAGGCTAGAGAGAATGAGAGGGGCGGGGCTAGAGCTATGTGGGCGGAGCTACAGTTGGATGGAATAGGCTAGAGAGAATGAGAGGGGCGGGGCTAGAGCTATGTGGGCGGAGCTATAGTTGGATGGAATAGGCTAGAGGTTGAATGAGAGGGGCGGGGCTAGAGCTATGTGGGCGGAGCTATACGATGGAGGGGGCTAAAGGGTGAATAAAGGGGCGGGGCGAGAGCTAAGGGGGCCAGAGTGGTGGATTCCTGGATCCCAGAGCACAGAGCTGGGGTGGAAAAAAGGGACTGGGGTTGATTCCCGGGTCCCTAGGGACAATGCTGAGGCCAGCGGGTGGATTTTCTAGGCTTCTGAGGGTGGAGCTAGGTCAGATGGGCGGAGCTAGCACTCGATGGGTGGGGCTGAGACGAAGGGCTAGTTCTCTGTGGGTGGGGCTTAGGTCAATGGGGCGGGGTCAGTGCTACAAGGTAAGTCTGGAGGGTGGAGCTCCCTGAGTCTATAGGCAGAGCTGCAGCCAAAATGTGGGGTTAGAATGAACTGGGCCACACTGAGGCTAAAGAGACAGTACAGGGGGCTGGAGCAATAGCACAGCAGGGAAGGCGTTTGCCTTGCACGCGGCCGACCCAGGTTCGATTCCCAGCATCCCATAGGGTCCCCCGAGCACCGCCAGGAGTGATTCTTGAGTGCAAAGCCAGGAATGACCCCTGAGCATCGCCGGGTGTGACCCAAACAGCAAAAAACAACAACAACAAAAAAGACAGTACAGTGGGTAGGGTGATTGTGTTGCATGTGGCTGACCCAGGTTCAATCCCCTGCATCATATATGCATCATATATTCCCCCAAACACTGCCAGGATTGATCCCTGAGTACAGAGGCAGGAATCAGCCCTGAACATTGCCAGGTATGGCCCAAAAATAACCACCAAAAAATGGGCCGCATACACACACACACACACACACACACACACACACACACACACAAAGACAGAGCAAGAGAGGAAGAATTCAATCACTCGTGAGAATTCCCATCTGAGTTCCTGCAGATTAACATCTTGTCTGGCATGCACTCAGCACCGTGAGAGATAACGCAGCAAGCTGGCCACGTGCTTTGCATGCCAGAGGCCCCCATCCTGGGAGTAAGTGTCCCAGCCACAAGCTGGGAGTAGCCCCTGAGCACCACAGGGTGTGTCCAAACCAACACACACACACACACATCCCTGAGGATATTGTGGTGGTGGAACCAAATTCTTCCATCCCGGGACACCACCAGAAATAATTCCTGAGGGCAAAGCCAAGAGCATCACGGGGTGTGACCCAAAAAAGCCAAAAAAAAAAAAAAAAGAATTCTTCCATCCTAGAGAGTTTAGGGCCTGTTGGGTCAGGAGACCCATGGACACTGACCACCACCTTCACTGCATTAGTGGCTGAACCCTGTATCCACCTGACTTTCCATTTATTCTGCTGGTGGCAGGGCGGAAGGCAGACCAGATCACAGCCGTGGGTACTCCGGGCTACTCCTGACTGTGCTCTGGGGTGACCTCTGGAGGTGCTAGGGAACCAGATGTGGTGCCAAGGATTGAACTGGGGTTGGCAAGGTGCCAGGCAAGCCCTTACATCTCTGTACCAGCTCTATACTGACTTTCCAATTTGTGTCTTTCTTTGGGGGGTGGGGGTGAGGGGGATGTTTTGGCCAAACCCTGCGATGCTCAGGATTCCTCCTGGCTCTGCAGTCAGGAATTACTCTGGGGGGTCCTCAGGGGACCCTATGGGATGCTGGAGATCGAATCCAGGTAGGCTGTGTGCAAAGGAAGCATCCTCCCCGCTGTTCCATCCTAAGAGTCTGGGCTCCTGATTTTCTGATTCTTTTTTTTTTTTTTTTTTTTTTTTTGCTTTTTGGGTCACACCCGGCAATGCACAGGGGTCACTCCTGGCTCTGCGCTCAGGAATTACCCCTGGCGGTGCTCAGGGGGCCATATGGGATGCTGGGAATCGAACCCGGGTCGGCCGCGTGCAAGGCAAAAGCCCTACCCGCTGTGCTATCACCCCAGCCCTGATTTTCTGATTCTTGTCCCCACCGTTCCCAGTTCATCGAAGGCCGCTTGGAGAAGCTTAATACAGGAGAAGGTTTCTCGGACCTTTTCGAGCAGGAAATCACCAGCAGCGGGGCTTCCTCGGGTAAGCCCTGCACCCCCCCCCCCCCGAAACGCGCGCGCGCGCACCCCTCCCCCCCCAAGCTCCTTCCTCAGTCCATCTTTTCTCCCTCACTCCAGGAATCCTGCGCTCTTACCAGCTCTGGGCAGACAGCCTAAAGGTAATGAACTTGGAGCACTTGTCTTTGTGCTTCTTTTTATTTGGGGGGGGGGAGGCATTGTTCCTTTTCTCTGTGTCACTCTCTCCCCAGAAAGGTGGGGGTGCCCTCCTGCATTCGGTCAAGAGCAGGACCCAGCCGGCCGTCAAGAACATGTACCGGACGGTGAGGGGGTCACTGGGGGGCTGGGGTGGGGATAGTGCAGATGACCCCAGCTGGCAAACAGGAGCAGCCCCCAACACTGGGATGAATTGTCTTTTTCTTTTCTTTTTTCTCCTTTTTTTTTTTGTTTTGGGTCACACCTGGCAATGCTCAGGGGTTACTCCTGGCTCTGTACCCAGAATTACTCCTGGCGGTGCTCAGGGGACCATATGGGATGCTGGGAGTCGAACCCAGGTTGGCCGCGTGCAAGGCAAATGCCCTACCCGCTGTATTATCACTCCATCCCCTCTTTTTTTATTTTTTCTGGCACACACCCGGTGATGCTCAGGGGTTCCTCCTGGCTCTGCACTCAGGAATTACTCCTGGCAGTACTCGGGGGACCCTATGGGATGCCGGGGATCCAATCTGGGTTGGCTGTGTGCAAGACAAACATCCAACCCACCGTGCTGTCCCTCTGACCTTCTCCCCCAGTGACTTTCTATTGGTCATCTTTATATGGGAGAGTTTCTTCCCTACGGGACTCTGACAAAGTGGGGTGGTGGGGGAACCCCTCTGTTCCTTCTCAGATGGTCCATGTCAGCATCTGTTCTTTGATTTTGCTCCTGAGCCCCCAAATTGGGCTTTACTCCCAAGCCCAAAGTTCTATAACTCCAGTTGTTCAAACCCTTGCTGGTTTTTTTTTTTCGAGGCGGGGGAGGGAGGATGCTCGGGAATCACTCCTGGCAGGGCTCCTTTGGGATACTGGGATACTGGGGCTCAAACCTGGGTCCGTTGCATGCCAGGCAAATGCCCTTCCCTCATTACCCTTCTTGTTTTGTTTTCTTTTTTTCCTTTTTGGGTCACACCCGGAGATGCTCAGGGGTCACTCCTGGCTCTGCACTCAGGAATGACCCCTGGCGGAGCTCAGGGGACCATATGGGATGCCGGGGATTGAACCCGGGTCAGCCGCATGCAAGGCAAACGCCCTCCCCGCTGTGCTATCGCTCCTGCCCCATTACCCTTCCTGTTCTGCAGATACAATTTTACCATCTTGCTTCTGCCTCTTCCCATTTGGGGGGGAGGGGGCAAGATGGGGCGGGGGGGGGGGGGTCTATGTAGTTTTTTCCAGATTTTCCTATGGCGAGTGAAGGGATGGCAGTTCAGATAGGCCGCTTTGGGGGTGCACGGGGAATTGTGTGCGTCTGCCCCAAACCAGCCATGAATGTCGTCGGAGGAAATCGCTCTCCCGTTTCGTTCTTTTTGTTCCTCTGCAGGCCAAGAGCGGCTTGAAGGGCGTGCAAAACCTTCTGATGTACAAGGCAAGATCGGAGGCCCAGGACCCAGGGGAGGGGCGGGAGGAGGGGCCCCTGCTCACCCCCTCCCCACGTTCCTAGGATGGGGTCTCCTGCATGCAGAGAGGGGGCTCCCTGAGGGTCCCCACCCCTGCCAGCCGCTCAGACCGCCTGCAGCAACGTCTGCCCATCACCCAGCACTTTGGACGGGTAAGACCCCAGCCCCAGGGCACCCGGTCTCTCTCCCCTCCCTTAACCCCCCGGTTCCGGTGCCTACCCCAAAATTCAGTGCTCAGTGCTCCTATCCAGTGCTCCCTCCCTCTTGCCCAGAGCCCTTCACTCTCATAACTTTTTTTTCCCCCCTTTTTGGGTCATCCCTGGCAATATTCAGGAGTTACTCCTGGCTCTGTGCTCAAGAATTACTCCTCGCAGTGCTCAGAAGACTGCTATGGGATGCCAGGGATCAAACCCAGGTTGACCACATGCAAGGCAAACGCCCTCCTCACTGTCCTATTGCTCCAGCCCCTCTCGTAACTCTGGAGACACCCCCCAACCCCCACCCACCCCTCAAATCTGATCCTTGTGGGGCCGCTGCACTGACTCAGGCTCCCACAAGCCCCACCACGAGTGAATCCTGAGCAAAGAGCCAGGGGCCCTGGGCCCTGCCGGATGTGCTCTCAAACCGAACCTGATTTTTGCAGAATCGGCCTCTGCGCCCCAGCAGAAGATTCCGGCTGCAAGAGGTTCCTCCTGGGGGTTCCCTCAGGGAACGGTAAGGCTGAGAGGCAGGGAAGGGGCAAGGATGTGGGAGGGTGGGAGGTAAGAATTAACAGGGGTGGGCCGGAGTGATAGCACAGCGGGTAGAGCGCCTGCCTTGCACGCGGACAACCCGGGTTCGATTCCCAGCATCCCATATAGTCCCCCGAGCACCGCCAGGAGTCATTCCTGAGTGCAGAGCCAGGAGGAACCCCTGTGCATCGCCGGGTGGGACCCAAAAAGCAAAAAAAAAAAAAAAAAAAAAGATTTAATAGGGGGAGGGGCTGGAGCGATAGCACAGTGGGTAGGGCATTTGCCTTGCACGCAGCCAACCCGGGTTCGATTCCCAGCATCCCATGTGGTCATCTGAGCACTGCCAGGAGTGATTCCTGAGCGCAGAGCCAGGAGTAACCCCTGTGCATCGCCGGATGTGACCCCCACCCACCCAAAAGAAAAAAAAAAGAATTAATGGGGGAGAGAGTGGTCCTCATTCCGAGGGCAGACTTGGGAGCCACAGGCTGGAGAGTGTCTTTGATCACTGACGTTCCCCATCCTCACCCAGGAGTCCCCCTCTGGACCCCGAGGATGCCCAGGACCCTGGTGAAGAGGACACATTGGACGGCAGCTTCCTGGGATCTGGAGAGGAGCTGGATTTACTGAGTGAGATTCTGGACAGTCTCAGCACCAGCACGGCCAGGACTGGCAGCCTCCGGCCCAGCCAGAGCTTGGACTGTTGTCACCTGGGGGCTCTGGACAGCAGCTCCAGCCTGGTGAGAGGCCCCTCCCAGCACCCCACCTTCCCGGCCACACGCCACCGTCGGTCACACGCTCATTTCCCACTGCCCCGTCCAGCCCGACATCCCGGGAAGTCCCCAGTGGTCACTGGAGGATGAGGACGAGGACCCGTCAAAATCGCAGCCCCTGTGCCTGTCTGCCCCCTTGGAGTGTCTGCCACCGGCCCCGCCTCAGGACGCCCCTGCCCAGCTGCCCGTCAGAGCCAGTCCGGAAATCATGTCCTCATGCCCACCCACCCAAGCTGGAGCAGAGCCGCACAGCTGTGGGGTCCCTGCACCCCACCTCCCAGAGCCACAGCCCCTCATTCTCCACCTCTCGCCTCCCCAGAAGACAGCCGATGAGCCCAGAGCCCAGGAGAGGCCCCCTTCCCCGCCCAGCACTGCACCAGAACAGCCCCCCAGCCCCCCAGGGAGCCCCCAGCGTGTGGTCCCTACAGAGCCCAGCGTGGACCCCCCAGCCTTGGATTCTGGTTCTCCTGAGAGAACCCAGCTGTATTCTGGGGTACCGCAAGTAGATCGCAGCCCCCCGGAAGCCCTGCAGGAGCAGAGAGCACCCCAGTTTCTGAGTACAACTGCCAGCGACAGGCAGGAGACCCAGACCCAGGGTCATCCCAGAGTAGCAGAACTTAAAAAATGTTTTGAAAGTTAAAGGATGGGGGGGTTGGAGCGATGGTACGGCAGGTGTTGGCTTTGCACACGGCCAACCGGGTTCGATCCCCGGCATCCCATGAGTCCCTGAGCACCCCCGGGAGTGATCCCCGAGTGCAGGGGCAAGAATAAACCCTGAGCACTGCCCGGGGTAACCCCACAACAAACAGGAAGAATCAGGGTTGGGGGTTGGAGTGATGGGACAGTGAGTCAGCCTCTCGCTTTGCACGCAGCCAAACCAGGGTCTGTCCCTGGCACCACAAAGGGTCCCCTGAACCCTGCCAGGCGTGATCCCTGAGCTCAGAGCCAGGAGTAAGCTCTAAACACCACCAACCGTGACCCCCGCCCAAAAAAAATTAAATTAGAGGTGGACTACATCATAGATAGGACACTGCAGAAAGCATTTGCCTTGCTTGTAACTGACAACCCCCTCCCAAGTTTGATCCCCAGCACCTTAGGGTTGCCTGAGCCCTGCCAGGAGTGATTCCCTGAGCACAGAACCAGGAGTCAGACCTGAGCACTGCTGGATGTGGCCCAACTCACACACACGAAGAGTTGGGGTGCACAGGAGACCCCCTACCTCCATGACTTTGGATATTCAATAAAAACACAAAAGACTTGTCCCGCCTCAGTGTTTTCCGGTGCGTTTATCTGTGGGGGGGCCACTGTCTGCTCAGAGACCCTTCCCCGCCCCCCGTCCGTCCTGGAAGCGTAATCTTTTGCGTTACACGGAAGCACGATTCTTACTCTTTGGAGAAGGGGCCCCACTTCCAGCTGGCTCTCGGTCTCCGCAAAGAGTCCCTCCACTTCCAGGAAGCCCTCCGAGCCCCCCGGGATCGCCTGGAACTTTACAGCTCAGGTCTCAACAGCCAGCCGAGGGACCCTCCGCCTCTTCTCCAGCTAGCATAGCTCCAGCCCGCCCCACCACCAGCTCCCAGAAAACGACGGATTCATTCCCATCATCGGTGGGTGTCGGAGGAACTGCTTGTCGCTAAGAGCTCGACCCCCTGGAGGGGGTCTGCGAAGCACCTTCTTCCCTTAAGTCTTTAGGCATTGGGCAGAGAGGACTCAGCCTCCCCATAAGGTCCCCAACAGCAGGGAAGGGAGGCGGACGCGGGAGGGGGGCCCTAGATGGGCAGGCATCCCCGCACCTTCTCCTTGGAGTCCTGGGGAGCCCCGGCCGCGGCTGCGTGCGAGAACTGAAAGGAAAGGAAGAGGCGGGTGTTGTCGGACCCCGAGAGCCACCTCCGAGCCGGACGGGGGGCTGCAAGCGAGGGCGGGCAGGGGGGTCCCCAGCCCCGGCGGCGCCCCGACGTGCAGGCGGAATCAAGCGGAGGTGGCATGCTTGGCGGAGCGCGCCCAGGAGAGAGGTGGCCCCAGGCCCTCCCAAGTCCTCCAGGGCCATCCGAGGCAGATGTCCAGGCGCCGGGCAGTCCGGGGCAGCGGTCGCAGCGATGCTGGCTGGCCCCCCGGGCGTTCAGATGAGCCGCTCCTCGGGAGGCAGCTTGAGGTTGGGGGGCGGGGGCGCTCGGGCACCCACCTGCTCTTCACTGCTGGGCCGGTAGGTACCCTCCGTCTGCCGCTTCTCGCGAAGTTTCCGCACCAGCAGCGTCAGCCCCACGGCCACCAGCGCGGCGGCCAGGAGGGAGAAGACCACGATGATGGCAGTGGTGGCCCCCTGGGACTGAGGGAGAGAGGACAAGGGTGACGCATCCGCGGGGACACAGTGCCCACCCACCTGGGAATGCAGTGCCCCGTACCCAGGCGCACACGTGCACGCATGCACGCGCACACACCACTCCCGTTTTTTATTTATTGGTTGGGGGTCGGGGGGTCGGAGCCACATCTAGTGATGCTCGGGGCTGACTCGGGTCTCTGTCTCCACGCTCAGAAATTACTCCTGGCGGTGCTCAGGGGGCCACAGGGATGCTGGGAATCGAACCCGGGTCAGTCGCATGCAAGGCAAACGCCCTCCCTGCTGCGCTATTTGGAAAACGCTGTTTTAATTGATTGAGATTCTATGGTTTATGATACTGTTTTCTTTTTTTTTTTTAGGGGGAGAGCGTCACCCCAGTGGTGCTCAGGGCTGACTCCTGACTCTGTGCTCAGGGATCACTCCTGGTGGGGCTCGGGGGACCCTATAGGGTGCTGGGGATCAAATCTGGGTTACTTGCCTGCAAGGCAAGCGCCCTCCCCACTGAACTATTGCTCTGACACCACAATATTATTATTATTATTGCTTTTGGGGTCACACCCAGCAATGCTCAGGGGTGACTCCTGGCTCTGCACTCAGGAATTACTCCTGGTGGTGCGTGGGGGACCCTATGGGATGCCGGGGATTGAACCCAGGTTGGCTGTGTGCAAGGCAAACACCCTTCCTGCTGTACCATTGCTCTGGACCCACAATTAATAATGGTTTCTCCCTTGTTACCCTCTCACTGTGTATCTTCAAGTCTCACCCATGAGCAAGCACATTCTGTGTGTGTGTGTTTGTTTTCTTTTTGGGTCACACCCGGAAATGCACAGGGGTTCTTCCTGGCTCTTCACTCAGGAATTACTCTTGGCAGTGCTCGGGGGACCATATGGGATGCTGGGAATCGAACCCGGGTCGGCTGCGTGTAAGGCAAACGCCCTCCCCGCTGTGCTATGGCTCCAGCCCCGAGCAAGCAAATTCTGTACCTGCCCCTTTCCTTCTGACTGACTTCACTCAGCACGATTCCCTCTAGGTCCTTACAGGGTGCTACAAATTACATAATTTTTTTTGAGGGGGAGGGTTCTCCCTCAGAGCTGCATACTATTCCGCTGCATGTAGAGACCACAACTTCTCAACCCACCCGTTCATAACAGGGTATTTGGGTTAATTCCATATCTTCACTATTGTACTAAATGCAGTGATGAACACAGTTGTGCATATAAGTCCTTTTGTGTTTTTTGTTTTGTTTTGTTTTTACTTTTTGGGTCACACCCGGCGATGCTCAGGGGGTTACTCCTGGCTCATGCACTCAGAAATCACTCCTGGCGGTGCTCAGGGGACCATATGGGATGCTGGGAATCGAACCTGTGTCGTCCATGTTGGCTGCGTGCAAGGCAAATGCCCTACCCACTGTGCTATCACTCCAGCCCCATATAAATCCTTTCGGATGAATGTTTTTGTGTTTTGGGTCGCCCCCCCCCCCGATCTAGCACCCTCACCTGCTCTGTCTGGAACCCGCTCCCCAGCCCCCACATCCCCCTGCCCTCCCGCACATGGACACCTGATAAATCCCCCCTTAGCTGCCATCTGGGCTCAACCATCCCCTCAGCCTACGCCACACCCCGGATTCTCGGTCTCTGGGGCCTGGTCCCCCATCGGCTGTCAGGACTTGGGTCACGCACATATCGTGTCTTCAAAGAGCCGCCTCCACCCCATCCATGCTGACCTCTGATGCTCTGGGCCCCCCAATCTACTCTCAGAAGAAGTGAAGAGAACCCCAACTCACCAAGCCTCCACCACCAGGGTTGGGTTCCGGCTGGATGGTCGTATTGTTTCCGGTCTCACTCGTGACGGGCTCCAGTGCTGGGGAGGACAGAGAAGATCAATAAACCCCATTTCTCCTTCCCATCGCCGCAATCCCCTCCCCCCTCAGCCCCAAAACACACTCCTTAGAACCGTCTTCTGGGTCTTCCAACGGGACAGATTGTGGGTTCGAGACATGCTGGGGCTAGCCCAGCTGTTTGTTTGTTTTTAACTCTTTTTGACTTTTTGGGTCGCACCCAGAGGTTCCTCCTGGCTCTGCACTCAGGAATTACCCCTGGTGGTGCTCAGAGGACCCTATGGGATGCTGGGAATTGAACCTGGGTTGGCCGTATGCAAGGCAAACGCCCTACCCACTCTGCTATTGCTCCAGCTCCTAAAACTTTTTTTTTTTTTGCTTTGTTTGGGTCACACCCGGCGATGCACAGGGGTTACTCCTGGCTTTGCACTCAGGAATCACTCCTGGCGGTGCTCGGGGGACCATACGGGATGCTGAGAATCGAACCCGGGTCGGCCGCGTGCAAGGCAAATGCCCTACCCGCTGTGCTATTGCTCCAGCCCCTCCTAAAACTTTTTAAAGTGTATTTATTTTTGGTTTGGGGGCCACACTTGTCAGGGCTCAGGGAACCCTGTGGAGTGCCAGGGATCAAACCCAGGTGAGCCACGTGTAGCCAAGTGGCCTTAACCCCTGTAGTATCTCTCTGGCCCTTTTAGTTAGTTTTTGCACTGGGGCTCTGAGTAAGTGCTCAGAACAGACTCTTATCTCTGTGCTCAGACATCTTTCTTGGTGGGCTCAGGGGACCGACCCAATGCGGTGCCAGGGATCGAACCCCCGGTGGCTGGGTATAAAGCAGGCACTGTACTCTCTCTCTTTCTCTCCCCAGATCCATGGGTGGTTTGCCTTTTCTTTACATTTTTTTTTTAAATTCTTTTCCCTCTTCTGACCTTTCCCCTTCCAGGTCTCACAGGGAGCACAGAGCCAGGCGTCCGAGCGCACGTTGGGGGCGATTAGAAGTGTTTGCGAGGGGCTGGAGCAATAGCACAGCGGGTAGGGCGTTTGCCTTACACTGCGGCCAACCCAGGTTCGGTTCCCAGCATCCCATATGGTCCCCTGAGCACTGCCAGGGGTAATTCCTGAGCACAGAGCCAGGAGTAACCCCTGTGGATTGCCGGGTGTGACCCAAAAAGCAAAAAAAAAAAAAAAAAATAGAAGCGTCTGCGAGCCCGACCCTCCCCCGCCCTCCCCCATACCTCTCCAGACCTACTCCCGGCCAGAAGGAGCTGGGCGGGTCCCTCGAGGCCGATAGCGCTCTGACTCACACCTTCCCTCACCCCCCACCCCGGGGCGGCCGGCTCCAAGTCCGCCCTCACCTAGGACCAGCCCGACCCACCGGTAGCTCAAAGCCCCGGACCAGCCTCCACTTTCCAAACTCAACTCACAATTCCACTCCCGCCTCCCACTGCGTAAAAGCCCACCCCGATCGTTCCCAAGCCCGACCCCCCTTGGAGAACCGAGGTCCCCGCGACCCCGATCGCTCCCCGAGCCCGGCCCCCTTGGAGAGCCGAGGTCCCCGCGACCCCGATCGCTCCCCGAGCCCGACCCCCTTGGAGAGTCGAGGTCCCCGCGACCCCGATCGCTCCCCGAGCCGGGTCCCCTTGGAGAGCCGAGGTCCCCGCGACCCCGATCGCTCCCCGAGCCGGGTCCCCTTGGAGAGCCGAGGTCCCCGCGACCCCGATCGCTCCCCGAGCCGGGTCCCCTTGGAGAGCCGAGGTCCCCGCGACCCCGATCGCTCCCCGAGCCCGACCCCCTTGGAGAGTCGAGGTCCCCGCGACCCCGATCGCTCCCCGAGCCGGGTCCCCTTGGAGAGCCGAGGTCCCCGCGACCCCGATCGCTCCCCGAGCCCGACCCCCTTGGAGAGCCGAGGTCCCCGCGACCCCCGATCGCTCCCCGAGCCCGGCCCCCTTGGAGAGCCGAAGTCCCCGCGACCCCGATCGCTCCCCGAGCCCGACCCCCTTGGAGAGCCGAGGTCCCCGCGACCCCGATCGCTCCCCGAGCCCGACCCCCTTGGAGAGCCGAGGTCCCCGCGACCCCGATCGCTCCCGGAGCCCGGCCCCCTTGGAGAGCCGAGGTTCCCGCGACCCCGATCGCTCCCCGAGCCCGACCCCCTTGGAGAGCCGAGGTCCCCGCGACCCCGATCGCTCCCCGAGCCCGACCCCCTTGGAGAGCCGAGGTCCCCGCGACCCCGATCGCTCCCCGCGCCTCGGAGCCCCGCCCGCCGCCGCCCCCCACCCAGCCCACCCCACCCCACGCCCCGCGCGCGCGCGCACCGGTACTTACCTTGGCCTCGGACCCCGCCCCATCGGGCGGGCAGCAGCGGGAGGCCGAGCGCCAGGAGCAACCCCCAGGCGGGGCTCGCCATGGACCCGGCGACAGGCGGCGGCTGGCACCGGGCACCGGGCTGGGCGCGCGCTCGCCGCTCCTACCGCATCGCGGGACGGTCGGGGTGGGGGGTCCCTGCGCCCCGGCACCTGGGGGTGGCGAGAAGGAAGAAAAGTCCCGGGCGTGGGGGAGGGGGCAGAAGTCCCTGGCAGCAGGGCGCAGGCCCAAGGCAGGGGCGATCCGAGCCAGGGCACCCCGCATTCCCGCCCCGCCGCCAGCGCTCGAGGTCAGAGATTAAAGATTAACCCGGCCGGACTGCGCGTTCCAGGACCGGGGAGGGAAAAAAGGGGGAAAAAAGGAAAGAGGAGGAGGAGGAAGAGGAGGAGGTGGAGGAGGAGGAGGAGGGGACGCAGGGCGGAACCCCGCGGGCCCGCCTCCCTACCTGGCCCGGGACGCTCGACTTTGCTCCGGTCCCCGAGGCCGACCCCTGGCTCGAACCCTCCCGGGCCGCCCCGCCGCCGATCGCCCGGTCCCACTCCGGCCGTTCCGCCCGTTCACGTGACCCGGAAAGTTTAGTCACTTACCTGGGAGGGGCGCGCCACTTCCGGCCCGTGCACCTGAGCTCGGCGGAGAGGGCGGAGCCCGGCGCGGCGCACCTGTAACGGGCAACCAATCCCGGGCCGCGGCGCGGAGCCGAGGGGCGGGGCGCGCAGGTGCAGGGGGGACCGCCCGCCTGGGTTGCGGGCAGCGCTGGGGCTTATTATTTACTTATTATTATTATTATTATTATTAAGTTTTTTTGGGGGGCCACACCCCGCGATGCTCTGGGGTTACTCCTGGCTTTGCCCTCAAGACATCTCTCCTGGCGGGGCTCTAGGGTGGTAGGAATCAAACCCAGGTGGCAACGTGCAAGGCGAGATGGTACCCGCTGGACCATCGCTCTGGCCACCGCTGAAGAGATTTTAGGGGAGCGGGGAGGGCGTTTTTCTTGCACGCGGCCGACCCGGGTTCGATTCCCAGCACCCCATATGGTCCCCTGAGCACCGCCAGGAGTCATTCCTGAGTGCAGAGCCAGGAGGAACCCCTGTGCATCTCCGGGTTTGACCCAAAAAGCAAAAAAGAAAAAAAAATTAAAAATAATTATATCGAATGCCAGACACAGTAACAGCAAAGTCTCCAATGGAGACGTTACTGGGCCCGCTCGAGCAAATCGATGATCAACGGGAGGGCCTTTACCTTTTACCTTTTAAAAATAATTAATGTGGGGGCTGGAGTGATAGCATAGGGGGTAGGGTGTTTGCCTTGCATGCGGCCGATCTGGGTTCGATTCCCAGCGTCCCATATGGTCCCCTGAGCACCGCCAGGAGTCATTCCTGAGTGCAGAGCCAGCAGTAACCCCTGAGCATTACCGGGTGTGACCCAAAAAGCGAAAAAAAAAAGAGAGAGAGAGATTTTAGGGGAGGTGGGTCCTGGGACTCTAGTGTCTGAAGGTTTTCAAGGTCCTGGGAGCATCCGGATGTGGAGCCCCTGATGAAAAGGAGTCTGCGTCTGCACGCATGCACGCCTGGACAGCAGACATCTGTGCACCTGTGCAGAAAACACCTGCATTAGGGGGAACTCCTGCCGACTGCAGCGCCCTCACGCGAGGGGCGGGGTAATTTCTGCTTTGCCTGTTTTGTTTTGATTTGTTTTGATTTGGGGCCGCACTCGGTAGTGCTCAGGGCTGACTCCTGGCTCTGCGCTCAGGAATCACTCCTGGGGGGGGGGGGGCTTAGGGGAGCCTGTTGGGGTGCGGGGATCCAATCGGGTCGGCCACTTGCAAAGAAAAGCACCCAACCTGCTATACTATAGCTCCAGCCCCCGGGGATCCCTGATTTGGAAAGGCATCCGCTTGGGTGACCTGTGAAATGAATGTCGCTGATAGGACTTTTGGCGTGGGAATGTACTGGAAACATCTAGAGGACACGCACATGCCTTAAAAGACCCCTGTGTGGGACCCAGCTGAGGAGGGGGAGGGGACATTTGTAGAATGTTTCTATGGGTGGAGGAACATAGGTTTACCCCCCCCATGGGGGGCCAACGCATAGTACAGTGGGGAGGGCGTTTAATTTGTACATGGCCGACCCGGGTTCGATCCCTGGCATCCCATAGGATCCTCTGAGCACCACCAGGAGTGATTACTGAGTGCAGAGCCAGGAGTAACCGCTGATCATCGTTGGTGTGGCCCCAAGCTTCCTCTCCACAAGAAACCCACCTGTGGGCTGGAGAGACAGTACAAGTGAACAGGGCATTTGCCTTGTAGGAGGCCGACCTGGATTTGGTCACCAGAACTCCAGATGGTTCCCTGAGTCCTAGGAGTGATTCCTGGGAGCCCAATCAGGAGGCAGCCCTGAGAAGCACAGCTGGGTATGGCTCAAAAAAGAGAGAAAGAAAGACAGAAAGAAGGAAGGAGGGAAGGAAGGAAGGAAAGAAAGAAAGAAAGAAAGAGAAAGAAGAAAGAAAAGAAGAAAGAAGGAAGAAATAAACCATGAGCTAGAGAGATGTGTGTGTTGGGGGGTGTTTGAGAACTTCAGGCACATAGTGAAACATCTGGGCAGAGGCTGATGTGGATAGACACACATCTGTCAATCAGACACCTGTGAGACAGCACCTGTTTGGCACCTGTGTCCCAATCACTCAGCTTGCAGGTTGTAAGGCACCTGTAAGACTCCCCTGGGGATGAAAATACCTACTAGGGGCCCCTCTTTAAGGAGCTCATTTGTCTGGGATACCCCTATAGGAGTATAAGAGCAGAGTCTCCTGCCCCCGGGCCTGGCTGTCCTCACTGGGGCCCCTTGGAGGGGGGAGGGTTGAGTTTCTCTCACCCCCCCCCCGCCCGCCCTGAGCAGAACCCCAGCAGCTGAGGACCTCCGGAGCCAGCCATGGCCATGCTGGGACCACTCTCCACATGTTCGGATGAGCCCCATGCATGAAAGAACTGGCAGAGGAACCCAGGCATGCGGGTCCAGGGGCTGAGGTCTCCAAGCCTACTCGAACTGGGACTGGGCCTTCTCCAACCAGACCCCCTCGTCTTCCAGTAGGTAGGCGTCACACCCACCAGCTGCCGCCAGCACCAGGTTGGTCCCATTAACGGCCAAGATGCAGAGACTATAAAATCCAGCTCCTAGAAGCGCGCGGCCGCATTGGTGGCCACGCAACATCTTATTATCTTATTTTCCTTTGGAGAACCTGGCAGGCTACCAAAAGTATCCTGCCCGCACGGCAGAGTCTGGCAAACTTCCCGTGTCGTGCTCAATATGCCAAATACCAGTAACAGTGATGGGTCTCATTCTCCTAATCCTAAAAGAGCATTGAAATGGCTCTTTTAAAATCTCAGGGCTAGGAAGAAGGAGACGTTACTGGTGCCTGCTCGAGGAAATTGACGAATAACAGGATGCTCGTGCTCGTGACCCCTATAGGAATATACCTGGGTTGCGGGCAGCGCTGGGGCATATTATTATTATTATTATTATTATTATTATATAATAAGCAGAAGTGGAGTGAGCACACAATGAGCCCGCCTAAGTTGTTTCATTGAATAAAGAATAGTGATAACGAGATGACATCCACTGGGGACTTTGGGTGCAGGGAGAATGAATCATTTCTGAACTACAGCGATGGGCAAGAAGCCTCGGTTGTGGCCGGGAGAAATAGAGACTAGGGAAGACCTTCACTTGCCTTGCATGCAGCCAACCCAGGTTCGGTCCTTGACACCCCCTAGGGTCCCCAAGAGCCAGGAGTGATCCCTGAGTGCAGATCCAGGAGGAACCTCTGAGCATAGCGGGGTGTGACGGCTCAAAATTTTTCAAGATTAAAATATTTTTAAAAGTCCAGATTGGGGAGGGGGGGGCTGGAGCAATAGCACAGCGGGTCGGGCGTTTGCCTTGCACGCAGCCGGACCCAGGTTCGATTCCCAGCATCCCATAGGGTCCCCCGAGCACGGCCAGGAGTCATTCCTGAGTGCATGAACCAGGAGGAACCCCTGTGCATCGCCGGGTGTGACCCAAAAAGCAAAAAAAAAAAAATTTTTTTTAAAAGTCCAGATTGGGGGCTGGAGTGATATAGCACAGCGGGTAGGGCATTTGCCTTGCACGCAGCCCGACCCAGGTTCGATTCCCAGCATCCCATAGGGTCCCCCGAGCATGGCCAGGAGTCATTCCTGAGTGCATGAACCAGGAGGAACCCCTGTGCATCACCGGGTGTGACCCAAAAAGCAAAAAAAAAAAAAAAAAAAAAAGTCCAGATTGTTTGCTCTTTCTCTGATGGGACACGTCGACCGGCCAGAGGGCGAGAGTGGCTGAACTTCCTTTTTCCCTCACCTCCCTTATAGGGTTCGGGCGAGGAAGCTCGAGAGAGGTGAGTAAAAGGCCTGGCATGTGCACGCATAGAATCCACGTTCGCTTTGGTCATTATTTGCTGTCAAGCGGGAGGGCGCCCCTCCCCCTATTGGTGAAAGGAGAAACTGCGTCCGCAACGAGTGGGTGGGACGTCCAGCAGGTGCAGCTTGCGCGACAGGCTGGGGCCCAGCTCCGGCTACTGGGTCTTTGTCCCCGGACTGGCCGCCGGGAACCTTCAGAGCCTCGGGCAGAGACGGAGACAGCCGACGGCCCGGGCGCTGCATTCGGCTGCGGCCCCTTTAAGACGCTGAGCCGAGCCTCCCGGCGGGGGGGGAAGGGGGTGGGGGGGACACGAGGCAGCTTCGGGTCAAGGGGAAGCCCCGCCCCCAGTGGGCGGGGCGAGCGGGCGCAGCCCCGGCGACTCTGACCAATAGGCGGCCGACTTTGCCGCAGCGCCGTTGGTTGATTTTACGTTTCCCACCCCCCACCCCGGGCCGCAAAGACGCGCGCGGGCGAGAAGAAGGCGCCGAGGCTGAGCCCCGCGTCTGGATTGATCTTCTGCGTCTGGGGCCGAGCCGGGACCGTGCAGCGGGCGGGCGGGCGGGCGGGCAGGTGGCGCAGACTTGGTTCTTGAATCTCTTCTGGGACGAGATCGTGCGGCATCGTACGGGTTGGGAGGTCGATTAAAAAAAAAGGAAAGATGCCACCCGATCGCTGGCAGCAGGCGAGACGAAACCCAGAACTGACTTTTTTTTTTTTTTTGAAAGGGTGCAGGGGAGTGTTGGTCCACACCCGGCGATCGAGGCTCAGGGCTTGGCTCTGCATTCAGGGATCGCGCCTGGCGATGCTCCAGGCCACCCTGGCAGGTGCCAGGGATTGCACCGGGCCGGCAGTGTGCAAGGCCAGCGGCCTCCCCGCTGCAGAACTGAACACTTTGGAACCGCCTCCTCCCCGGAGTGAACCCTTGCACCCCCGCGGGCAGGTGCAATACCGGAATAGCCCTGACCTCCCCGCCCCACACCCCCAGCCCCGCCCCCGGCCCCCCCTCCCCGCCCCCCACCCACCCACCCACCCACCCACCTCCCCAGCCGGCCGGGGCGTGGGGGCGTGGGGGGTGGGGGGAGGAGACGCGAGTTCCGGCGCGGGCGGCGACGGCTACCAGTCGGCGTCTCCTCCTGCGGGTGCCAGCGGCCGGCGGGCGGGCAGCGGCGGAGGCTGCGGTGGCCGTGGCCGCGGTGCTGGCCCTGCGGGGCCCCGGGGGGGAGGGGGAGCCGCGAAGCCCCCGCTGAGGCCGCCGCGGCCGGGCCTCCCCTCCCCCCCTCCCTGCGCGGGTGGGCGCCATGCGGGGGGGCCCGGGCGACGCGGAGAGGCGGCAGCGCTGGGGTCGCCTCTTCGAGGAGCTGGACAGTAACAAGGATGGCCGCGTGGACATGCACGAGTTGCGCCAGGGGCTGGCCCGGCTGGGCGCGGGCGACCCGGACCGCGGCGCCCAGCAGGTACCCCCCTCCGGCACCCCCCAGCCCAGCACAGCCCAGGCCGCCCCCCACCCCCGCCCAGTCCGCCTGGGGGACCCCCCTGCACGGCCGAACGCTGCTCCTTGTGTCCAGCCGGGGCATCGCTGGCCCCTTCGCCCTGGGCACCCGCCTCCGAGCCCAGAGGGGTCTCTCCAGAGCCCGGCCACCCCCCAAGCCCTTCGCCTGCAGTTCGGCTGCCAACCCCCGAGGTCCCGGTGGCTCCTGCCCCCGCCTCCCGCGCCGGGATGCCCGCCAGGCCACGCAGCCGGGTCCACTGTCCTGAGCTGGACACAGCTTGGGTTGAACTCTGCACAGCTCCAGGCTGGCCTGCAACCCCCCCCCTCTGGGAGGCACCGCTCCCCCACTGCCCTCAGCCTGTTTGCAATCCAACCCCCACCCCCGCCTGCCCTTTGCCAGGGACCCAGTCCTGGGGGGCCTGTCCAGCCTCAGACGGCCTCTACTCGCGGTGGCCGTCACCCAGGAGCCGTCACCCAGGGTGTCCCGCCTCCCATTTCCCAGATGGGGAAACTGAGGCTGCTGGTGGAGCTGGGCCCTGCTGGCTGGTCAGAGGGTGTCTGGGCCTGGGCTGTTACCGCCTCCAGGCAAAAGACATTTATAGGTGGTGGGGAGGGGGGGGCGGGGAAGGTGCTTGCCTAGTACATGGCTCTAGGTGCGATCCCCAGCATCGCATAGGGTCCCCCATGTCTGCCCTCCCAGCAGTAGTGATCCTTGAGCACAGAGTCAGGAGTCAGACCTGAGCACTGCTGGGTGTGACTCAAAACTAAAGAGAGAGGGGAGTGCCGAGAGATAGTACAGCGGGAAAGGCACTTGCCTTGCACACGGCTGACCCGGGTTCTATCCTTGGTGTCCCAGAGACCGCCCCCCTCACCAAGCCCTGGTGGGAGTAAGCCATGAGCACAGAGATAGGAGTAAGCCGTGAGCATAACGGTGTGCCCTCTTCCCCCCCCAAAAAAAAAAAAAAAAACAGGGAGAGAAGCACACAAGAGAGCCTGGGATGATGCAGCTCAGTGGGGGAGCACTGTGGGGGGAGTCCCTGGCACAAAAGAAAAGAAGAGCGAGAGGGGCCAGAGTCATAGTACAGCAAGGAGGGTGCTTGCCTCACATGAGGTTGACCCGGGTTCTGTCCTCAGCACCCCATAGGGTCCCCTGAGCCCCACCTGTGTGCAGATCCCTGTGTGCAGAGCCAGGAGTCAGCCCTGAGGACAGCTAGATGTGGGTCACCCTCCAAAAAAGAAAGGGGGAGAAGGAAATAAGGAAGGAAGGAAGGAAGGAAGGAAGGAAGGAAGGAAGGGGGGCTGGAGAGATAGCACAGCGGGTAGGGCGTTTGCCTTGCACGCAGCCGACCCGGGTTCGATTCCCAGCATCCCATAGGGTCCCCTGAGCACTGCCAGGGGTGATTCCTGAGCACAGAGCCAGGAGGAACCCCTGTGCATCGCAAGGTGTGACCCAAAAAGCAAAAAAAAAAAGAAAGGACCAGAAAGAAAGAGAAAGAAAAAATGGAAAGAAGGAAGGAAAGAAAAATAGGTTTCCCAGGAGTTCGAGCTCCCTGAGACCTCGCAGCCCTATGACCTTGAAGGCGGGCCCTGACCTTGAGCTGCCTCAGTTTGCCCTCTCCATCGCATTCTGCCAACCACCCTCTGAGGATCTGGGGGGTCTCTATCTCCATTCTCCCGGCGCTGGGCTCCGGGGAACCGCAGGGCTAGTCCTGAGTCCCACCACCGTTCATCACGGAGATCCTGGTGTCTGCCCCCATCCCGGTCCCCAGGGCATCTCCGCAGAGGGCAGCGACGCCGAGGTGGGGCTGGACCTGGAGGAGTTTATCTGCTACCTCCAGGAGCGCGAACAGCGTCTGCTCCTGCTCTTCCACAGCCTGGACCGCAACCAGGACGGTAAGGCAAGGCGCGGGCAGGGCTCCGGGCTGCTCCCCGCCACCCCCCTCCGCACCCCCAGTGGCACTGAGAATGCAGCGTGAGGAGGAGGGGCACGGCCGCTTCTCCCCGGTGACTCAGAGACTATTTCAGGAGCCTCCGTCACCCCCTTAGGTGGTTCGAGGCCCAACCACTCCAGCCCACCTGCTTTTTCCTTCCATGGTGGGACCCCTGATCTTCGTCTGCTCTGCCTCCCACCCACTGCTCCTCGACTCCCACCCCTCTCCCATCACAGCTTCTTTTCTTTTGCTTTTTGGGTCACACCCGGCGATGCCCAGGGGTTCCTCCTGGCTCTGCACTCAGAATTACTCCTGGTGGCGCTCGGGGGATCCTAGGGGATGCTGGGAATCGAACCCGGGTCGGCCACATGCAAGGCAAACGCCAGCCCCTCCCATTGCATCTTCTGTGCCTGCCCCCTGACCTCTTTTATTTTTTGCTTTTTTTTTTCTTGTTTTGGGATCACAGCAGCAGTGCTCAGGGCTTCCTCCCGGCTCTGCACTCAGGGATCACTCCTAGCAGGGCTTGGGAGACCCTATTGAATGCTGGGGATCGAACCCGGGTCTGCCGCATGCAGGACCAGCACCCTTCTTGCTATGGCTCTGCCTCCCCTGATCACTTCCTCACTTCCTTTTTTTTTTTTCTTTTTTTTTGTGTCACACCTGGTGATGCACAGGGGTTACTCCTGACTCTGCACTCAGGAATTACTCCTGGCAGTACTCGGGGGACCCTATGGGATGCTGGGAATCGAACCCGGGTCGGCCGCATGCAAGGCAAACGCCCTCCCCGCTGTGCTATCGCTCCAGCGCCTCCCCCCCCATCACTTCTTGATTCCCCAGGCTTAGAAATCCATTTACATACTCTTGGATTTATTTCTATCACGGTCACGATCCTCCTGTTGTTCATCAATTTGCTCGAGTGGGCCCAGTAACATCTTCATCGTGAGATTTGTTGTTACTGTGTTTGGCATATTGAATATGTCACGGGTCGCTTGCCAGGCTTTGCCGTGCGGGCGAGATCCTCTCGGTAGCTTGCCGGGCTCTCCGAGAGGGGCGGAGGAATCGAACCCAGTTCGGCTGGGCCTTCTGCATGCAAGGCAAACGCCCTACCACTGTGCTATCGCTCCAGCCCCCCCCCCATCACTACTTGATTCCCCGGGCTTAGAAACCCATTTACATACTCTTGGATTTATTTATTCTTTGTGTGTGTGTGTGTGGCGGTTGGAGGGGAAGGTTGTAGGTCACACCTACAAGGTGCTCAAGACGGGGTCCAGGTTCTGTGCTCAGGGATCACTCCGGAAGGAGATTTGGGTATCTTTTGGGGGCGCCAAGGATCCAAGCCAGAAAATGCCTTCTTCCTGTGTATCACTCCATTCTCTCATTTATTTATTCTTTCTTTATTTTTTTTTTTATTTTCTTTTGCTTTTCGGGTCACACCCGGCGATGCACAGGGCTTCCTCCTGGCTCTGCACTCAGGAATTACTCCTGGCAGTGCTCAGGGGGACCCTATGGGATGCTGGGAATCGAACCCGGGTTGGCCGCGTGCAAGGCAAACGCCCTCCCCGCTGTGCTATTGTTCCAGCTCCTTATTTATTCTTGCATGGAGCAGAATAGTTCCACCCCCTCCTCTCTGAGCCAGAGTGGGGGTGACAGGGAGACCCCCTCCCTGCCGTACACCTCATCTGTGTCCCGGGATCCTGGGTCTATTTTTGTCGGTGGGGGGCGGGGGCTATACCTGGAGATGCTTAAGGGTTCCTCCAGGCTCTGCACTCAGGAGTTACTCCTGGTGGTGCTTGGGGGACCCAATGGGGTGCTGGAGATTAAACGCCCATCATGCCAAGGGACCCCTTGCCCTGTCCCCTCTGCAGGTCATATCGATGTCTCTGAGATTCAGCAGAGCTTCCGAGCATTGGGAATTTCCATCACATTGGAGCAAGCCGAGAAAATTCTACACAGGTGAGTCAGCAGGGGAGGCATTGGGGGGGGCTGTCCCTCACCCCCCAGCCCCTCAACCTCTTTGAGTCTCCAGGACTCCGACCCAGCGCTGGCATGTGGGTGTGGTCGAGAAGCTGGACTTCACTGGTGCCTCCGTGCGCCTGTTTCCCGCACCCTGGTAAAAAGGGAGCACCTCTGGCAGAATAACAGTACCGAGCTGAAGGTGCTGGCCTTAAAGCCAACCGCCAGGGGCTGGAGAGATAGCACAGCGGGTCGGGCGTTTGCCTTGCACGCGGCCGACCCGGGTTCGATCCCCAGCATCCCATATGGTCCCCCAAGCACCGCCAGGAGGAATTCCTGAGTGCAGAGCCAGGAGTGACCCCTGAGCATTGCTGGGTGTGACCCAAAAAAGGCAAAAAAAAAAAAAAAAAAAAAAAAAGCCAACCGCCAGCACCGCATGGGAGTTCCCCAAGCACCCGCCAGGGCGGCGCTCCTGAGCACAGAGCCAGGAATTGTCCCCAGCCCCAGCACCGCTAACACCCCCTTTCGCCCCTCCCCTCCCCACCTCCAAATAAACGGAGGCATTTCTCTCTCTTTTTTTTTTTTTTTGGTTTTTGGGTCACACCTGGCGATGCACAGGGGTTATTCCTGGCTCTGCACTCAGGAATGACTCCTGGCGGTGCTCAGGGGACCCTATGGGATGCTGGGAATCGAACCCGGGTGGGCCCCGTGCAAGGCAAACGCCCTACCCGCTGTGCTATCGCTCCAGCCCCGAGGTATTCCTCTTTACCCTTCAAACCCAGGCCCTGGCAGGGGCCTTGACTCTGTCCCCCCCACTGCGCTCCCCTTTCCCCCCCCACCAGCATGGACCGAGATGGGACGATGACCATTGATTGGCAGGAGTGGAGGGACCACTTCCTCTTGCATTCGCTGGAGAATGTGGAAGACGTGCTCTACTTCTGGAAACATTCCACGGTGAGGTGGGGGTGCCCCGGGCCGGAGGGGGGTGGCCAGTGGGAGAAGGGAGCAGTGCCCTGTCCCCATCCCCTGCCTCTGCTCCTGTCCCTCCCCTCCCCCACAGTTTCACAGCCCCGCCCTCCATCCACAGGTACTGGACATCGGCGAGAGCCTGACGGTCCCCGATGAGTTCTCCGAGCAGGAGAAGATGACAGGCATGTGGTGGAAGCAGCTGGTGTCCGGCGCGGTGGCGGGGGCCGTGTCCCGAACGGGCACTGCGCCCCTGGACCGTCTCAAGGTTTTCATGCAGGTGAGGAGTCCCGGGGTGAGGATGGAGCAGGGCTCAACCTGGGTTCGATCCCCAGCATCCCATATCCCCCGAGCGCAGCCAGGAGTAATTCCTGAGTGCAGAGCCAGGAGGAACCCCTGAGCATCGCCAGGTGTGATCCAAAAAGCAAAAGAGAGTCCGGGAGTGACATGTCCCTCTATTCGCAGAAAGTGACCCCATCCCCAATTGAAAAAATTTATAGTGATAGCACAGCGGGTAGGGTGTTTTTTGCCTTGCACGCGTCCGACCCGGGTTCGATTCCTCTCAGAGAGCCTGGGAAGCTACCAAGAGTATCCTGCCCGCATGGCAGAGCCTGGCAAAGCTCCCCGTGGTGTTATTTGATATGCCAAAAACAGTAACAACAAGTCTCACAGTGGAGACGTTACTGGTACTCAAGCAAATCGATGAACAAGGAAGAACAGTGCTACAGTGCTTCGATTTAAAAAAAAAACGCGGGTCTTGGGGCTGGAGCAATAGCACAGCGGGTAGGGCGTTTGCCTTGCACGCGACCCACTAGGGTTCGATTCCCAGCATCCCATGTGGTTCCCTGAGCACCGCCAGGAGTAACTCCTGAGTGCAGAGCCAGGAGGAACCCCTGTGCGTCGCCGGGTGTGACCCAAAAAGCAAAAAAAAAAAAAAAAAAAAAAAAAAGAAAACGCGAGTCAGGGAGGGCATTTCCTGTGCCTCGCTGGCCAGCAGACCTGAGTGCCATCCGCAGCACCCCACAGAGCCTCCCTGTGCCCCGCCAGGAGGGATACCTGAGTGCAGAGCCAGGAGTCAGCCCTGAGCATTGCGGGGTGCAGCCCACACCCTCAAAAATAGCAAAACAGGGGCTGGAATGATAGTACAGCGGGTAGGGCGGTTTGCCTTGCACGCGACCCACTAGGGTTCGATTCCCAGCATCCCATATGGTTCCCTGAGCACCGCCAGGAGTAATTCCTGAGTGCATGAACCAGGAGTGACCCCCAGTGCATCGCCAGGTGTGACCCAAAAAGCAAAAAAAAAAAAAAAAAAAAAAGGCAAAACAGGGGCTGGAATGATAGCACAGCGGGTAGGGCGTTTGCCTTGCACGCGACCCACTAGGGTTCGATCCCCAGCATCCCATAGGGTCCCCTGAGCACCGCCAGGAGTCATTCCTGAGTGCATGAACCAGGAGTAATCCCTGTGCATCGCCAGGTGTGACCCAAAAAGCAAAAAAAAAACAAAAAACAAAAAAAAATAGCAAAACACAGAAACGTAGAAAATAGTCCACTCCACGCTTTGTCTCCCCCCACCCAGGTTCATGCCTCCAAGACCAACAAGCTCAACATCCTGGGGGGGCTCCGCAGCATGATCCAGGAAGGGGGCGTGCGCTCCCTGTGGCGGGGGAACGGCATCAACGTGCTCAAGATCGCCCCGGAGTCCGCGATCAGGTTCATGGCCTATGAGCAGGTGTGGTGCTGGGCGGGGCGGGGCCCGGGAGAGGCCACGCCCAGTGGGCGGGGCCAACTAGGCTCCGCCCCCAGGCCCCAACCACTCACCTGTCCCCGGCCCCCCCCCAGATAAAGCGGGCCATCCGTGGACAGCAGGAGACCCTCCGGGTGCAGGAGCGCTTCGTGGCGGGTTCCCTGGCCGGTGCCACGGCCCAAACCATCATTTACCCCATGGAGGTGAGCCTGGAGGGGGGGGGCATCTCTTGGACAGAAAGGGATTCTTGGGAATGCTTGGACCCTGGGGCAAATTTTTTATTTTATTTTATTATATTTTTTATTTTTTAATAGTGAGACATCATGAGGTACAGTTGCAGACTTACACATTTTTGTGCTTGGGTTTCAATTTGACAATGATCAAGTCCCCATCCCTCCACCAGTGCCCAGGGGCAAATTTTTTTGAGGACCAAGTGTTTTCAGGTTCTGGGTTATGGGGGGAGGGAGGTGTCTGTTAGAAATCGGACGGACAGAGAACTCGAATTCCTTCCTCTGGGCCTCTGAGAACAGAGAAGTGACTTCCTGGGCCCAAAATAGCCGCCTGGACACCGGTCATCACATCACATCCACCTTGCAGCTGAGAAGGAATGACGGATGAAGAAATACCTCCTTCTGCCTGGCTTTTTTATTTGTTTATTTTTTTTTTGTTTGCATGTTTTCTGGAATTGGCATTTGATGTTCTTCTGATGTCTTGGCCACACCCTTAGGGAAGCTGAAACGTGGAATCTTTCTTTCTGGAGGACTATGTAGGCTGAAGGTTCTAGTTTCTGTAACTCAGAGTGAAGGTTGCACTTACCAGGCAGTAGCAATAGTTGCCACGGGCAGCTGATACATGTAACTGTATCTGGATGTGGAGTTTGGGGATAGCAGAAGATTCTAAGAGTGCTTTATTATTTGGGGACCGTCTTTGGGAGACACTCTTGGCCCAGCTCAGGGGCCGTGTGGTGCCAGGAGATTTGCAGCCCCGTGAGCCAATATGTCCTTTTATTTTCACTTATTTCTCTTTGGTTTGGTGGGGGGGCTGCACCCAGCTATGCTCAGGGCCAACTTCTGGCTCTCCATTCAGGGATCACTCCTGGTGAGCTCAGGGGGCCTCATGGGGTGCCAGAACTCAAACCTGGGGGGCCGGAGTGATAGCACAGCAGGTAGGGCGTTTGCCTTGCACGCAGCCGACCCGGGTTCAATCCCTGGCATCCCATATGGTCCTCCAAGCATTGCCAGGAGTAATTCCTGAGTGCAAAGCTAGGAGTAACCCCTGAGCATTGCTGGGTGTGACCCAAAAAGCAAAAAAAAAAAAAATGCTTGGGGCTGGAGCAATAGCACAGTGGGTAGGGCGTTTGCCTTGCATGCGGCCAACCCAGGTTCGATTCCCAGCATCTCATATGGTCCCCTGAGCACCGCCAGGGATGATTCCTGAGTGCATGAACCAGGAGTAACCCCTGTGCATTGCCGGGTGTGACCCAAAATCCCAAAAAGCAAAGCAAAAAAAAAAAATCAGGGATCTGGGCAGGAGTGATAGGCACAGCGGGTAGTGCATTTGCCTTGCACGCAGCTGACCCGGGTACAATCTCCAGCATCCCATAGGGTCCCCCGGAGTACCACCAGGAGTAATTCCTGAATGCGGAGCCAGGAGTCAGCCCTAAGCACTACCGGGTGTGGCCCCCAAACAAAAGCCAGGGAGCCGCATCCACAGTGGGGGTCCCAGTAGGCTGGATCACATGGTGTCGGGTACCCCAGATGCTCCTGACCTGGGTTGTTCTTCCAGCCCACCCCATTTCCGGCAGAGTCACGTGGGGGCACAGCTCAGAGCATTTCCCAGCTTGATGCCATCGGGTGGGGACTACTTGTTCTCTGGGTCTCCTGCCCCCCTCCCCTCGGGGTCGGTATCCCCCAATCCCTGTATTCCCAACGTGCTCTTCCAGGGACTTTTGATTCAGGGGTTTCCCCCGGGTTCTCCCCAGGTGCTGAAGACACGGCTGACCCTGCGCCGATCCGGCCAGTACCACGGCCTGCTGGACTGTGCGCGGCGCATCCTGGAGCGCGAGGGCCCGCACGCCTTCTACCGCGGCTACCTGCCCAACATGCTGGGCATCGTCCCCTACGCGGGCATCGACCTGGCCGTCTATGAGGTCAGTGGCTATCCCATCCTCCCACCTCTGGCCTGGGACACTTCCGGTCCTTGAGATATGGCAACCAAAGAATGTGTTTTTTTGTGTTTTGTGGTTATTGGGTCACACCCGGTGATGCACAGGGGTTTTCCCTGGCTCTTGCATTCAGGAATGACTCCTGGCGGTGCTCGGGGGACCATATGGGATGCTGGGAATCAAACCCGGGTCGGCTGCGTGCAAGGCAAACGCCCTACCCACTGTGCTATTGCCCCAGCCCTGCCCCAGGACTTTTTGACTCCTAGGGAAGCTGTTCAGAAGAGCAAGAAGGGAAGGACTTGAGGGAGAGTCCAGTGGAGAGGGCGCTGGCCTTGCAAGTGGTCAAGCAGGCTTGATCCCCAGCATCCCAAAGGGTCCCCCAAGCCCCGCCAGAGTGATTGCTGAGTGCAGACCCGGGAGGAAGCCCTGAGCATCACCGGGTGTGGCCCCAGAACAAAAACAGCAAAATAAAATTGACACCAGTTTGTTCATGCCAGAGTGTTAGGACAGCGGGGCGGGTGTTTGCCTTGCAGGCGGCCGACCTAGGTTCGATCCTCGGCATCCCCATAGAGTCCCCCGAGTCCTGCCAGGAGGGAGATTGCTGAGTGCAAAGCTGGAGGAAGCCCTGAGCACCGCCAAACGTGACCCAAAAACCAAAATCAAAACCAGAAATTCAAGAAGGGGGGCTGCAGGGCCGGATAGCACAGCGGGTAGGGCATTTTGCCGTGCACGTGGCCGACCTGGGTTCAATTCCCGGCATCCCATATGGTCCCCCAAGCACCGCCAGGAGGGATTCCTGAGTGTAGAGCCAGGAATAACCCCTGAGCATCGCCGGGTGTGACCCAAAAAGCAAAAAAAAAAAGAAGGGGGGCCGCGGAGAACAGTGGGGGAGAACATTGGGGGAACTATCCCCCACACATGCAGCGAGCAGGAAAGCTGGTCAAGAAGCAAATAAAATTGTCTCATCCTCCAAAGTTCAAGGAAGATGATGTCCCTGGATGTGACAGAAGGCATTGGGGGCGAGTAGCAAGGGCTTCAAAATGACATTAGAGGGGTTGGAGCGATAGTACAGCCGGTAGGACATTTGCCTTGCACACGGCCGACCCAGGCTCGAGTCCCAGCATCCCAGATGGTCCCCCGAGCACCGCCAGGAGCGATTCCTGAGTGCAGAGCCAGGAGTAAGCCCTGTGCATTGCTGGGTGTGACCCAAAAAGAAAAAAAAGAAAATAATGACATTACAGCAAGTTGTTCACTTCCGGTTTTGTGGGGAGCAGATGTGAACCAGGCAGAGGCCTTGTGAAGACAAAGATCAAAAAGGTGAAAATGAGAGGAGAGAAGGAAGAGGAGGGGGAGGAAGGCTTTTTGTTTTGTTTTGTCTTGTTGTTTGGGGGCCATACCTAGCTGCGTTCAGGGTTGACTCCTGGTTCTGTGCACAGGCATCACTCCTGGTGGGGCTCAAGGGATCCTGTGGAGTACCAGGGATCGAACTGGGGTCTCTCTTTTTTTTTTTTTTTTCTTTATTGAATCACCGTGAGAACAGTCACAAGGCTTTCCGGTTTAAGTCTCGGTCATACAATGATCAAACACCCATCCCTTCACCAGTGCACATGTTCCACCATCAAGAACCCCAGTGTAGGGGCCGGAGCGATAGCACAGCAGGTTAAGGCGTTTGCCTTGCACGCGGCCGACCCGGGTTCGATCCCCGGCATCCCATATGGTCCCCCGAGCACCGCCAGGAGTAATTCCTGAGTGCAGAGCCAGAAATAACCCTTGAGCATCGCTGGGTGTGACCCCAAAAGAAAAAAAAAAAAGAACCCCAGTATATATAACTGAAACGCAAGCACAAAAGTTTGTAAGTCTACAACTGTACCTCATGGTGTTTCACTAATAAAAATTAAAAAAAAAATAAAAATTAGTATATCCCCCATCCCACCCACCCACCCCGCCGTTGTGGCAGGATCAATTCCACTTTCCTCTCGCTCTACTTTGAGTACATTCAATTTTTTTGACAGAAGACCTATCATTATTGCTTGGAATTTTCCCTCAACAGGTCTGCCTGCTGAGAAGGCATCATTAGATAATTTGTTTTCTATTGCTGATAATGAAGAGCATATGATGTCGTGTGGCCGCACAGTTTGGGATTTCTGATATTTTAGTAATTAAATCCGGAAGGATTTCTGCCAGAAGCCGCTGGGTTCCGAGCTTGTGAACCGGGGTCTCTTGTCTCTTGCATGCAAAGCCTGCACTTGGCACCTTAAGCTCGCTCTCTCTCTCTCTCTCTCTCTCTCTCTCTCTCTCTCTCTCTCTCTTCCCCCCACCCCCAACTAGCAGGTGCATTGCTGAAATCAGGCGCCTGTTTTGTTTTTTTGTTGTCTGGTTTTTGTTTTGGGATCACATCTGGCCATGCTCAGGGCTTCCTTCTGGCTCTGCACTCAGGAATTACTCCTGGCGGTGCTCAGAGAGGACCCAACGGGATGTCAGGAATCGAACCCAGGTTGGCCACATGCAAGGCGGCCAGCAGCACCCCCCTGGTGTGCTGTCGCTCCGGACCCCCAGGCTCCTGTTTCTTCTGGTTGGTTTGGGGGTGGCTCCACACAGCCTTACCCCCAAGCTCTGTGCTCTTGGATCATTCCTGGTACAGCCCAAGGAGATGCTGGGGGTTGAACCCGATCCGCCTAGTGCAAGGACAGCACTTTCCTGGCTGTGCTCTCTCTCCCACCTGGCCACCAGGCCACCATGCTCAGGGCTGACTCCTGGCTCTGCGCTCAGGAATCACTCCTGGCGGTGCTCGGAGGACCCAATGGGATGCCAGAGATCGAACCCAGGTCGGTCGCGTGCAAGGCAAATGCCCTCCCTGCTATCCTATGGCTCCAGCCCTGAGTGCCCCCACTTCTTTTTTTTTTTTTGGCTTTTTGGGTCACACCCGGCGATGCACAGGGGTTCCTCCTGGCTCTGCACTCAGGAATTACCCCTGGCGGTGCTCAGGGGACCCTGTGAGATGCTGGGAATCGAACCCGGGTCGGCCGCATGCAAGGCAAACGCCCTACCTGCTGTGCTGTCACTCCGGCCCCGAGTGCCCCACTGCTAACCTTCCTCCCTTCCTCCTGCCCTCCCTGCCAGACCCTAAAGAACCACTGGCTTCAGCAGTACAGCCACGAGTCTGCGAACCCCGGGATCCTGGTCCTGCTGGCCTGCGGCACCGTGTCCAGCACGTGTGGCCAGATCGCCAGCTACCCGCTGGCCCTGGTCCGTACTCGGATGCAGGCGCAAGGTGAGGTTGGGTGGGGCAGAGGATACCAGGGGAGGTTGGGGTGTGGGGGCCGCCGCCAGGATTCAGCGTTGGGGGGAGGCTCTCTGTCCCGACAGGGGACCTTCATCCGCCCCGTGGTCTCAGCAGACAGCCCCCCTTTCAGGCTGGCAACTTGAACCTCTTTATTTATTTATTTATTTATTTGGTCACAGTGATACACAGGGGTTCCTCCTGGCTCATGCACTCAGGAATTACTCCTGGCAGTGCTTGGGGGACCAAATGGGATGCTGGGAATCGAACCCAGGTCGGCCGCGTGCAAGGCAAACGCCCTCCCCGCTGTGCTATCGCTCCAGCCCCGCAATTTGAACCTCTTTATTTTTTAGTTTTAGCCTGATTCCTGGCTCTGCACTCAGGAATCACTCCTGGGGATATTCGGGGGACCCTGGGGGATGCCAGGGATCGAACCCGGTCAGCCGCAAGGCAAACGCCCTCCCTGCTGTACTATTGCTCTGCTCACCCCCGACCCCCATGAATTAATTTTCTTCCCTCCTTCCCTCCTCCCTGAATCTCCTTGAAGATTTTCCAAAATGTTGGTTTTTGGGGTAGCGAAGTTTGTGGGTGCAGGGAGGAAGGTGGGTATGGGAGGAGGGCCTGGAGGAAGAGTCCAGTTGGTGGGGCACTTGCTTTGCACGTGGCCTTCTGGGGTTCATTCCCTGGCATCCCAGGTGGTCCGCTGAGCACTGCCAGGAGTGATTCCTGAGCACAGAGCCAGGAGTAACCCCTGAGTATCACTGGCTTCAGAAAAAAAATGAAGAAATGCAGCCCCTTTGAAGGACTGGTTCTATCAGGTGGGGTTCAAGAGGAGAAATCCCCCAGCCCCCCCGGGATTGCCCAACTGTGAACTTCAGAATGGAGGAGGGGTGAGCTGGAGAGGAGGGAGGAGTCTGATTCCAGAAAGGAAAAAATCACTTTGCTCGAGCACGTGAGTGCGCGCGTGGGCACACACACACACACACACACACACACACGCACGCATGCATGCGTGTGCCTGCCTGTTCGTCCTCTGCTCCTTCCAAACCCCGCCGTTCCCACTGGGAGAAAGGTGAGTAGCCAAGTTCAAGGCCATAAATAGTGACTGATGAGGGCCAGAGCGATAGTCCAGCAGGGAGGGCAATTTGCCTTGCACACGGGTGACCCGGGTTCAATCCCCGGCGTCCCCTATAGTCCCCCGGGCACCACCAGGAGTAATTCCAGAGCACAGAGCCAGAAATGCGACCCAAAAAGGAGGAAAAAAAAAAAAGTGACCGATCAGCAGGTCCCTATGGTAGTTTCACGGGCTCTCTCCTTCCCACTGCGGGGACCCCCTGGGCCAGCCTCGGAGGGGACGGTGGAGGCTGAGCAGGGAACGAGGGCTCGGGTGGGGAGACCGGGGACCTTACTGGACCTCTGCCCCCATCCCCCTCTCTGCAGCGTCCATCGAGGGCGCCCCGCAGTCTTCCATGCTGGGGCTGCTACGGCACATCGTGGCCCAGGAGGGCGTGCGGGGCCTCTACCGGGGCATCGCCCCCAACTTCATGAAGGTCATCCCGGCCGTGAGCATCTCCTACGTGGTCTACGAGAACATGAAGCTGGCGCTGGGGGTCACATCCAGGTGAGGGACCGGAGCCTGACCCCCGCCGCCCACCCCAGTCACTGCACGTCCAGGGGAGCCCCAGCGCCCCCCCTTACACACACACACACACACACACAACACACACACACTCAGCCCGCAGGATCCCCGCAGGCCAGCGAGGGGCACCTGCGCGTCTTCACATTCCAGCCCCTGGATCCCACGTCGCCCCGCCCTGCCCAGCGGGGCCCGACGACCATGTCTTAACCACCCGAGCCCTCTCAGGGGTCCCAAGACCCTCATCACAGGAGCACATCACGCTCATAGCCCAGCGTCCAGCAGCCCCGGACCCCCCATCCGGTGTCTTCATGCCACCCTAGATCCCAGATTCCCCACCCACTGGTGGATTCTAGATTTCCCTCAGCTTCCAGCCCTTGGAGTTTCAAGCTCAGCCACTGGATTATTGGACGCTCGAGAGACCTCAGTCACTGGATCAATGCAATGCCTAGATCTGGGGGTGCCCCTCCCCCATGACACTGGATCCCAGATTCCCCTCACCTCGCCCACTGGATCCCCAGAGTCCTTCGCCTTGACACTGCTTCCTGGAGCCTTCTGCTACAAATCGCCAGATCCCTACATTCCAGCCCTCCTCCTGACCCACTGGGTTCCAGATCCCTGAGTCCCAGATCCCTGGATCCCGACCCCCTGGATCCCAGATTGCCAGGTTCCGACCCACTGGCTCCTGGATCCCAGATCCCTGGATCCCGACCCCCTGGATGCCAGATTGCCAGGTCCCGACCCACTGGCTCCTGGATCCCAGATCCCTGGATCCCGACCCCCTGGATGCCAGATTGCCAGGTCCCGACCCACTGGCTCCTGGATCCCAGATCCCTGGATCCCGACCCCCTGGATCCCAGATTGCCAGGTCCCGACCCACTGGCTCCCGGCTCCTAAAACCACTACAAGAAGAGTCCAGCAACAGAACTCGTGGGTCCTGGTGACTCTCAGGACCTCACCGCCAAGGAGGCCAACGGGGGGACATTTCCGGGCATCAGATTTCCTGTCCAACCCCTGATTCCCACCCTGATTGCTCACCTCCCCGACCCAGCACTGGATCCCAAGCACGCAGACCCCACATCTAGATCCCAGTGAATTCAGCCCACAGAGCTTCTTCCCCCCCCAGCACACACCCCGCCCACCGTGATGAGCGCCCCCAGGTCCTAAGGGGCCTGCAGGGAAGCCGGGTGCTGGCCTCTTAAGGGTCCTCCAGACATTCCAGGGGACAGGTCGCGAGTCCCCAGGTGACCCCCTGCCTCCTGGCGCTGTGTGAAAGCAGCTCCCCACAACTCACAATTTTTCAGTGGGACGGGGGGGGGGGGGGAGAGTTCCCCGGCCCCCTCCCCACCTTACAGCCTGGGTCCCTCTGAAGGATGGGGGAGCTGCTCATTCTTAGGGACCAGCGAGGAAGTCCTCTGAGACTCGGGGATGATTCCTGGAGGGGGAAACCCCCCCACACACGCCCAGCACTGCCAGCTCCCCTCCCCCCAGGTGCCAGAATCAAGAGGGTCCAGACCACTTCCCCCTCACCCCAAGCTCCCAACAATGTAGACACAGGCACGCACAAGCCAAATGCCCCCCCCCACTTAACTCCAGGCCTATTTTTCTATGAGAGAAGTCACCCCCCACACACACCTGCCCCACCCCCCCCAGCACCCCACCCCCCCACCCCGTCCTGATCCATTTTGCACTTTATATTTGGATCTTGAGCTTAAGATCACTGGGCGACCCACTTCTTCCACGTCTGGGGGGGGAACCCCATTAAAAGGCCACGGAAGAGGAACTGAATGTTTGGGAAACTGGAGGAACCCCCCCCCCCACAAAGACTTCCACCACCCCTCCACCCCGCCCCGCTGTGTGTGTTATTTCAAACGAAGAGATCAAAAAGAAATACATTTTTCTAAGCTTGTTCCTTGTGGTGCTGACTGAAGGGGGAGTTGGGTGTGGGTGTGGCCCCCCCCACCTAAATGATGCCCTCCCAAGCCTCAGTTTCCCCCGCTGTACGGGGAGCAGAAGTGCACACTGAGCAAGGCTTTTGCCTTGTACACCGCTGACCCCAGTATCACATCGGAGCAATTCCTGAGTTCAGGGCCAGGAGTAACTCCCTGAGCATTGCCGGGTGTGACCCCCCCAACCCCAAAAAAATAAACAAAAAATTGCATCTAGAGCAATAGTATGCTTTCCTTGCACGCGGCCAAAAAAAAACCAGTTTATTTTGCTGGTGATCAAACCCAGGGCCACAGGTCTCTACCCAGCCAGGATCTCTGCCCCTGCGGCCACACAGTTTAAAATTTAACTGGGGGGTCAGAGAAGGCCTCGTGGAGATAGTGACATTTGAATGTAAGTTTACAGGCAAGGTGGTGCAGGCTGGAGCCACGGGGGCAGTGGTGGTGGGCGCTGGGGGACATCCCAGGTAGCGGGTCTGGCCTATGCAAAGGTCCGGGGGCAGGACAAAGCCCATCAGATGAGAGGAGCAGAGAGAAGGCTGGAAGTGGGAGGCGGACGGGATCGAGGGAGGGAGGAGGAGAGGAGAACCATGTGGTGCCCGTCCAAGAGGGCAGAGGGAGAACTTTGCACTTTGCCCTGAAGGAGAAGGGTGCCCCCCCCCCCCAGGGCTGCCAATAGCTGGGGGGAAGGGTGAGGGGCGGGGGCCGCGGCGGGGGCGGGGACTGATGCGGGAGCTCAGCGCGCCCTCTGGTGGCCGCTGGGCGGAAAGACAGACGGGATGTGCCGGGGAGGTGGGAGCGGTCCGAGGGGCCCAGAGCGGAGGCCGGGGATGCCTTCACCTGCAGCTAAAGGGGATAGCGCTCAGGGGCTGGGTAGCGCGTTTGCCTTGCACGCGGCCGACGTAGGTTCGATTCCCAGCATCCCATAGGGTCCCCTGAGCACCACCAGGAGCACCACCAGGAGCACCACCAGGAGCACCACCGGGTGTAACCCCTGTGCATTGCCGGGTGTGACCCAAAAAGCAAAAACGTGCCCGGGGTTCTCCCTTCCCTGCACCGCAGAGCTGCAGAGCTGGGCATGGCCCGAGTCGGGCCAGGTGTGGCTTCCCAAACCCCAAAACAGTGAGAACGCATCCACTTCCCCCGCCTCAGGACTTGGGAACTGACGCTGGAACCACCCAGGGCACCCAGGATACTCTCCCCGAAGGCCGACCGGCCTCTAGAAGGGCCCTACTACAAGATTTATTCTCTGGCCTGGGCGAGAGGAGGACGGTTTGCCTAGCACACAGGTTTGATTCTCCGGCACCCCCATAGGGTCAACCCTGAGCACCGCCAGGAGTGCAGAGCCAGGAGTCACCCCTGAGCATCGCTGGGTGTGACCCCAGAAGCCAATAAATAAATACGAAGAGATAATATGAAGAGATTAAAGCAGTTGCCTTGGGGGCAGAGTACGGTGGGTAGAGCCTTGCACGCAGCTGACACGGGTTTGATCCCTGGCACCCCAAGGGTCCCCCAGCACCTCCGGGAGGAGTAAGTCCTGAGTGCAGAGCCAGGAGTCACCCAAGCAGTGCCACGTGTGACCCAAAAATCGAAAAAAGTAAATAGGGCTGAAGCAACAGTACAGCGGGTGGGACGTTTGTCTTGCACGTGGCCAACCTGAGTTTAATCCCCTGCATCCCATGGGGTCCCTCAAGCACAGGAGTGATTCCTGAGTGCAGAGCCAGGAGTAACCCCTGAGCATTGCTGGGTGTGACCCAAAGAGCAAAAAAAAAAAAAAAACCACAAAAAGTAAATAAATAAATAAAGCACTTGCCTTGTACCCAGCTGATTCCAGTTCAGTCCCGACACCTCATGAATTCTCCCTGAACACGGCCCAGAGAGACCCACTCAAGCACAGAGTCAGGGTGGCCCCCAAACTGTCCAACTACCCAACTTCCTCTTTCCTTGATGACACTCAGAGAGGTCAAACTGTGGGTTCCCAAGGTAAGAACTCGCATGGGTGGGGTCGGAGAAATAGGACAGCCGGGAGGGCACTTGTCTTGCATGAAGCTGATCCAGGTTCAATCCCTCAAGCTCCACCAGGAGTGATCCCTGAACACAGAGCCCGGGGATCAGCTCTGGGCATGGCCAGGTGGGGCCCCCAAGCAAAACCAAAACGGGAATTATCAGGGATTCATTCTTATCCTGGATTATTATTATTTTTATTTATTTTTATTCTGGATTCTTTTTTTCCTTTTTTCCCTTTATAATTTTTTCCCTTTATTTTATTTATTTATTTTAGTTGTAGATTTACTATATTTTGTGCTTGGGTTTCGATTATACAATGATCAGATACCCATCCCTCCACCAGTGCCCAATTTCCACCACCATGGATAATATCCCTCCCACCCCCGTCCCCCCATCCCCCCCTGCCTCTGTGGCAGGACAATCCCCTGTGTTCTCTCTCTCCTTTTGGGTGTTGTGGTCTGCAAAAGAGGCATTGAGTGGCAAACATGTTCAGTCCATAGTCTACTTTCGACATGCATCTCCCCTCCTGGGAGGATCCTCCAAACACCCTTTATTTGGTGCTCCCTTCTCTATCTGAACTGCCCTTTCCTCTAGGATACCCGGCTGGCCTCTAAGTTATGGAGTAATCCTCCTGGTGCTGATCTCAGCTATTCCTGGGTATTAATCTCATACTTTGTTACTTTATATCCCCCAGATGAATGCAATCTTTCTATGTCTATCCCTCTCTTTCTGACTCATTTCGCTTAGCATGATACTTTCCATGTTGTACCACTTGTATGTAAATTTCATGACTTCATCTTTTCTGACAGCTACATAGTACTCCATTGTGTAGATGTACCAGAGTTTCTTTAACCAGTCATCTGTTCTTGGGCATTCAGGTTTCTTCCAGTTTCTGGCTATTGTAAAGAGTGCTGCAATGAACAAACAAGTGCAGATCTCACTTCGACTATACATTTTTGCCTCTCTGGGATATATTCCCAGGAGTCCCTTTATAATTTTTATTTTATTTATTTATTGGTTCTGAGGCCACATCCCGCAATGGGCTTACTCCTGGCTCTGCACTCAGGCAGTGACTCCTGGCAGTGGTCAAGGGACCCTTCGGGATGCCGGGATCAAACCCGGTCAGCCATGTACAAGGCAAGTGCCCTCCCTGCTGTGCTATGTCTCTGGCCTCTCAAACCAGGATTTTTAGCTCCATCGCTGAAGCCTGATTAAATGGGGACAACCTTATCCCCCTTCTCCTCCTTGTCATTCTTTTTTTTTTTTTTTGCTTTTTGGGTCACACCTGGCGATGCACAGAGGTTACTCCTGGCTCGTGCACTCAGGAATCACCCCTGGCGGTGCTCAGGGGACCATATGGGATGCTGGGAATCGAACCCGGGTCGGCCGCGTGCAAGGCAAACGCCCTCCCCGCTGTGCTAACGCTCCAGCCCCCTCCTCGTCATTCCTATCCATTTTCCTATCTTCTGGGGGGGTCTACGCTAGTGGTGCTTGGGCTCAGTACTCCTCAGTAAGTACTTCAGGCTCTGCACTCAGAGATCAATCCTAGCTGGGCTCAGAGGACCACATGGGATGCCGGGGATGGAACCCAGGTCAGCTTTGTGCAAGGTCAGCGACCTCCCCGCTGTCCTGTCACTTGGGCCCCCTCACCCCACTTTCTCCTTCCTCTCTCTTCTCTCTCCCCTCGCTCCTCTCTCCCTCCCTCCCTCCCTCCATCTTTCTTCAGTCCTCTTTTCTTGGCTTCTCCCTGTCTCTCCCTCCATCGGAGCCCCCTCCCAAGCCCTCCCCCCATCCTTTCTCCTTCACAACCAACCTCCTGTCCCCATGACAACGAAACTCTGCAATTTGGTCCCTGTTGTGTTCAAACAAATGACCACACACGCTTTTTTTTTGCTTTTTTTGCTTTTGTTTTTTTGGGTCACACCCAGCAATGCTCAGGGGTTCCTCCTGGCTCTGCACTCAGGAATTACTCCTGACAGTGCTCAGGGGACCCTATGGGATGCTGGGAATCGAACCCGGGTCGGCCGCGTGCAAGGCAAACGCCCTCCACGCTGTACTATGGCTCTACCCCTACCACACACACTTGGTGGAGCCACAGATCATAGGTCTTGGAGACACACAAAGAGCTGGCATGCAGCTATGTGTGTGAGAGGCCCGGGGTCATTCCTGTCACCCCACGAATCCCCCCAACCCCCAACACCGAGCACAAAGCTGGGGAGTCAAAGCCCCCAGCCCACAACCAGAAACCGAAATAGAGACAGAGAGATTAAACGGGTGTAAACGCACTTGTCTTGGGTGTGGCAACCCTGGCATTGCATAAGGAGCTCCCGAGCCCTAGAGAGGAGTGATCGGTGAGCACAGAGGCAGGAGGAAGCCCTGAGCACCACCAGGTGTGGCTTCCTTAGAGTTGAAAAAAATAAAATAGGGACCAGAGCGATAATACAGCGGGTCGGGCGTTTGCTTTGCACGCGGCTGACCCGGGTTCAATCCCCGGCATCCCATAGGGTCCCCTGAGCACTGCCAGGAGTGATCCCTGAGTGCAGAGCCAGGAGTCAGCCCCGAGCTTCCTGGGTGTGAACCCAGACACAAAAAAGGAGTGAGAGGGCTGGAGCAACAGCACAGCAGGTAGGGCATTTGTCTTGCTCGCGGCCGACCCGGGTTCGATTCCCGGCATCCCATGTGGTCCCCTGAGCACCGCCGGGAGTGATTCCTGAGTGCAAAGCCAGGGACTCACCCCTTGCCCAGCGAGGTCACAAGTATCTCTGTGATGTCACCATCCCCAAAGCCCCCTCCCCAGCTCCCCGGGCAGCCTGGTCTGGTCAAAGGACACAAGCCGATGTGTCCTGGCCCTCGGCAGCTATGGGGACCCCACCTGAGCAGGCTGGGGAGCGGGGCTCCGACGGCCGGGCCCTCTCGGTGCCAATTGAGGCTTCGTTGGACCCCGCACCCGCGCTACCCGCAGCGTCCTCCCGGAACCCAGGCTGCACCCACGTGTACAGCTACGTGTTTGGACACGTGAGTGGAAACGAGTTACGACACGTCCCCACCCAGCAGGTGAGTCGGGAGCCCCGTGGGAATCTGTCCCCTACCACAACGCCACCCCCAAAGCCCGGCCAGGTCTCATGGAGCAAAAGCAGCGTAGGCGGGAGGAGGGCGCTGGCCTTGCATGCAGCTGATGTGGGTTCGATCCCCGGCACCCCACAGACTGCCAGGAGGGACCCCTGAGCGCAGAGTCAGCCAGGTGTGATGCAAAAGCCAAAACAAAACAAAACAAAAAAGGCAGAGCAAAAAAGAAAGAAAGAAAAAGAAAAGAAAGCTAACCTCAAGGTCTTAGAATATAAACAGGCCGAGCCAGAACGTGCCCAGGACAGAATAGAATAAAACAGTTTAGAGTCGGGACCAGGGAGATGGGGCTGCCAAGGACTGACCCTGGGTCAGTGGCGTAAAAGGCTAGCGTCCTTCCCGCTGTCCTATCACTCTGGTCCCTCGATAGACTTGGGCTGGAACGATAGCACAGCGGGGAGGGCGTTTGCCTGGCATGCAGCCGACCCGGGTTCGATTCCCAGCATCCCATAGGGTCCCCCCGAGCACCACCAGGAGTAGTTCCTGAGTACCGAGTCAGGAGGAACCCCTGGGCATCGCCGGGTGTGACCCAAAAAGAAAAAAAAAACTTTAAAACTGGAACCACTCATGAGGAGTTTGTTGAATTGGACCCCTCCCCTTCCATCACCCCAACCTTGAATTCCGCGGCTGGTGGGGGGCCGGGGGGGGGGTTGCCAGGCTTCTCCCCGCGTGCCCTGCAGGTGCTGGACACGGGAGAGCAGCTCATGGTGCCTGTGGACGTCCTGCAAGTGGACAATGCGGGCGCCCTCTGGAAGTTTCTGCTCTCGGGGGCCATGGCCGGGGCAGTGTCCCGCACGGGAACGGCCCCCCTGGACCGTGCCAAAGTGTACATGCAGGTATGAGGGGCGGGAGTGGGGGGGTTCGTGGCGACAGCCCCGTTCTGTGGGTCGGGGGGGGAGGTAGAGGTGAGGCCACGCGAGGGAAGGGTGCTGGGAGCACGGGGGCCGTTTGTTTTGGTTTGGGGGCCACTCCTGGCGATGCTCAGGGCTGACTCCTGGCTCAGCACTCAGGGACCCCTCCTGGCGGGCTCGGGGGGACCCTATGGGGTGGGGCAAGCACCCTGCCTGCTGTCCCATCGGTCCGGCCCAGGGCTGCTTGGGGGGAAGGGGAGCTTGGGGCTGGGCGAAGAATAGGGGCAGGGCTTAACTCGCCAAGTACAGGCGGAGAAGGACTCAAAACAGGGATGTCAGGACCGCAGAGATAGTGCAAGACTGCTGACTTCAGAGGCAGTTGACCCAGGTTTGGCCCCCGGCACCATCGCAGGGGGTCCCTCCCAACCCCTCCAGAGGGATCCTTGAGCACTGATCCAGGAGTCCATCCTGAGCACTGCCTGTTGGGTCCCAAAGCCCTCAAGTAAATTTTTTTTTTTTGCTTTTTTGGGTCACACCCGGCGATGCACAGGGGTTACTCCTGGCTCTGCATTCAGGAATTACCCCTGGCAGTGCTCAGGGGACCCTATGGGATGCTGGGAATCGAACCCGGGTCGGCCGTGTGCAAGGCAAACGCCCTCCCCGCTGTGCTATTGCTCCAGCCCCCTCAAGTAAAATTTTTGTTTGTTTTTTGGGCTACGCCCGGCGATGCTCAGGGCTTACTCCTGGCTCCACACTCGGGAATCACTCCTGGTGGTACCCGGGAGACCCTGTGGGATGCCAGGGATCGAACCTGGGTCGGCCGCATGCCAGGCAAATGCCCTACCCGCTGTGCTATCGCTCCAGCCCCAACAGTCTTATATTTTAATAATTTTATTTATTTGTTTTTGCTTCCTGGGTCACACCCGGCGATGCACAGGGGTTCCTCCTGGCTCTGCACTCAGGAGTTACTCCTGGCGGTGCTCAGGGGACCCTATGGGATGCTGGGAATCGAACTTGGGTCGGCCGCGTGCAAGGCAAACGCCCTCCCCGCTGTGCTATCGCTCCAGCCCCTAAATAAAGACACCTGAAAAAGAAGCCAGGGAACTCAAATTTGGGGGTGCGGCAGCGGAGGTGCACGAAGTTGGGGAGAGGGAGGGGTTGAGCTCCAGGCGGGCAGGGGGTGGAGACGGGGTGGCCCAGGCCCCCCTCGGCCCTCCCCCAGGTCTACGCCTCCAGGACGAACCTCACCAGCGTGCTGGGTGGGCTCCGGAGCTTGGTGCACGAGGGGGGCGTCCTCTCCCTCTGGCGGGGCAACGGTATCAACGTGCTCAAGATCGCGCCCGAGTACGCCATCAAGTTCTCTGTCTTCGAGCAGGTCGGGGAGACGCCTCCCACCCCAGACCCCCGTCCCCAACCCCCAACTCGGGCTCCTTCTCCCTCCGAGACACGTGCAGGGGGCGGGGGGGGGTGGGCGCCCCGGGGGATCCTAGGACCCGAGGGGGCTCAGGGAGGGAGTGCGAGTGGACAGTGCTCACTCCTTGTCTCCTGTCTGGTCCCAGTGTAAGAATTACTTCTGCGGAGTGCACGGGTCCCCGCCCTTCCAGGAGCGCCTCCTGGCGGGCTCCCTGGCGGTGGCGACCTCCCAGACGCTCATCAACCCCATGGAGGTAGGCGAGCCTCCGCCTTTTGGCTGGCCGCTCCCTGCTCCTCTCCCCCTCATCCCTCCCCTTCCCCGTCCTCCTTCCTCTTCCCCTTCCTCCGCCCTTTTCACCCCTCCCTAATGCTCCTCCCTCCTCTCCCATCTTCTCCTCTCCCTCCTCCCCAGTGCTCCTCCCTCCTTCCCCATCTTCTCCTCTCCCTCCTCCCCAGTGCTCCCCCCTCCTCCCCATCTTCTCCTCTCCCTCCTCCCCAGTGCTCCCCCCTCCTCCCCATCTTCTCCTCTCCCTCCTCCCCAGTACTCCTCCCTCCTCTCCCATCTTCTCCTCTCCCTCCTCCCCAGTACTCCTCCCTCCTCTCCCATCTTCTCCTCACCCTCCTCACTAATGCTCCTCCCTCCTTTCCCACCTCCTCCTGCTCCCCCTCCTCCCTAATGCTCCCTCCTCTCCCACCTCTTCTCCTCTCCCTCCTCCCCAGTGCTCCCCCTCCTCCCCATCTTCTCCTCTCCCTCCTCCCCAGTGCTCCTCCCTCCTTCCCCATCTTCTCCTCTCCCTCCTCCCCAGTGCTCCCTCTCCTCCCCATCTTCTCCTCTCCCTCCTCCCCAGTGCTCCTCCCTCCTTCCCCATCTTCTCCTCTCCCTCCTCCCCAGTGCTCCCCCTCCTCCCCATCTTCTCCTCTCCCTCCTCCCCAGTGCTCCTCCCTCCTTCCCCACCTTCTCCTCTCCCTCCTCCCCAGTGCTCCTCCCTCCTCCCCATCTTCTCCTCTCCCTCCTCCTTAATGCTCCTCCCTCCTCTCCCACCTCTTCTCCCTCCTCCCTAATGCTCCTCCCTCCTTTCCCACCTCCTCCTGCTCCCCCTCCTCCCTAATGCTCCCTCCTCTCCCACCTCCTCTCCCTCCTCCCTCCTGATGCTCCTCCTTCCTCTCCACCCTCCTTCCTTTCCTTCACCCTCCTCCCCCCCTCCACCTTCTTACTCTCTCCTCTTCCTTCCTTCTGGGAGATCAGGGGGCAACGGCTCCAAGGGCCCGGGAGCACATGCCTGTCCACCACTAGGCTCCAAGTTCGAGTCCCCCTACTCTCTGCAGGCCTGCAGAGTCCAGTGACCCACCGGTGCTCCCCCGCCCAGACTTTGTTTTTAAGTTGGAGGGAACCGCACCCGCGGGTGCTCAAGGGTCCCTGTGGGGGGCTGGGGATTGAACCCTGATCTGCAGCCAGCAAGGGGGGGGGGCTTGCGCCCTCCACCCTGTGCCATGCCTCGGCCGCTCACAGAGTCTTCACTGTTACACCTGGAGGCCAACACTGACACATTATTGTTACTTTGTGTGGTTCTGTGGCCCAAGGCTTGCTCAGGTTCCTAGTATCTATATTTAAAAAAAAAATGTTCGGCGTCACAGCCCCCCCCAAGGCTCTGCCGGGCCAGGGATGGAGCTGGAGCCCCTTGTAGGCAAAGCAGAGCCCGCAGCCCCCCACGGCTCCTGCCCCTTCCTGCGCCCATGCCTGGCGCCCTTCCAGTGTCTCCTCTTTCTTGATTTGCAGCAAACAAGTGGGCCAGGCTCCAGCTGCAACGTCGGGGCCTTCCCAGGGGAGGGGGGTCAGTGGAGAGGGACGAGGGCCAGGCTGGCAGGCGGAGGCTGGGCAGTGGGCACGCGGGCACAGGCACAGAGCCTGGGACCCGGCAGTAGATGCACACGCACACACACACACAGGTACACACAGGTCCAGACACATACGCACGCCCACACACACACGCACACACACACACACACATGCACACACACACAGGTCCAGACACACACATGCACACACACACATGCACACACACACACAGGTCCAGACACACACACAAGCACACACATGCACACACACATGCACACACACACAGGTCCAGACACACACACAAGCATACACATGCACACACACACATGCACACACACACAGGTCCAGACACACACACACGCACACACATGCGCACACACACACATGCACACATACACACATGCACACACAAGTACACAGGTCCAGACACACACACAAGCACACACATGCACACACACACATGCACACACACACATGTACACACACATGCACACACACAGGTCCAGACATGCACACAAGCACACACATGCACACACACACGTGCACACACAAGCACACAGGTCCAGACACACACACAAGCACACACATGCACACACACACAGGTCCAGACACACACACAAGCACACACATGCACGCCCACACAGACATGCACACAAGCACACAGACACACACACACGCGCCCACACACACATGCACACACACAGGTCCAGACACACACGCACACACATGCGCACACACACACATGCACACACAAGCACACAGACACACACACACATGCACACACACACAGGTCCAGACACACACACAAGCACACACATGCATGCCCACACACACATGCACACACAAGCACACAGACACGCACGTGCACACACACACAGGTCCAGACACACACACAAGCACACACATGCACGCACACACACACATGCACACATACAGGTCCAGACACGCACACACACACACATGCACAAGCACACAGACACGCACATACGCGCACACACACACATGCGCACACACACACATGCGCACACACACACAGGTCCAGACACATCCACAGGCACACGTACACAAACACACACACACACACACAAGCCCCAGCAGGGCCTGAGCACTCCCAGGGCCCCGTCTGCGTGGTCTGGGCTGGGGTACCAGGCTCCCCCTTAGTCTCGATGCTTCCTGAGCTGCCCTGGGGCATTTCCAAACCTGAGTGTCTTCAGCTGATTGTTTTTGGTCCTTCGGGGGCCACCCGAGGGTGCTCGGGGGGGATGAGGAGGGTGAGGGGTGACTCCTGGAGGGGCCTCTTCTGCAGACTCTGGCGTCTTCGCTGCCGGAGACGGTGGTGGCTCTGGGGGCGCTCGACTCCCACATGCGGCCTCCACCCCCCAACCCCCCCAGGTGCTGAAGACCAGGCTGACCCTTCGCAGGACGGGCCAGTACGCAGGGCTGCTGGACTGTGCCCGGCAGATCCTGAAGCACGAGGGCACGCGGGCCCTGTACCGCGGTTACCTGCCCAATATGCTGGGCATCATCCCCTACGCCTGCACGGATCTGGCCGTCTACGAGGTGAGGGTTCCACACGCGACGGGGACAGGTGCCCCGGGGCCCTGCGCGAGCTGCCCACCCACGTCCCTTCTCTGGACAGATGCTCCGGACTTTGTGGCTGAAATGGGGCAGGGACATGGAGGACCCGAGCGGCCTGGTCAGTCTGTCCTCGGTGACCTTGTCCACGACGTGCGGCCAGATGGCCAGTTATCCGCTGACCCTGGTGCGCACCCGGATGCAGGCTCAAGGTTAGTTCTGCCACCCCTGGAACCCCACCCTGGCTCCGGCGCTCAGGGCCCAGTCCTGGGGGTGCTGGGGAAACCCTGTGGGGTGCCAGGGATGGAACCCTGGCTGGCCACGTGCAAGACCAGTGCCCTCCCCGCTGTATAGCCCTGGCCCGAATGGACCGATTTTCTTTTTTTTTTTTAAGTTATTTATTTGGCTTTTTTGGGGGTCACACCCAGCAATGCTCAGAGGTTACTTCTGGCTCTGCACTCAGGAATCACTCCCGGTGGTGCTCAGGGGACCGTACGGAATGCCGGGGATGGAACCCGGGTTGGCCGTGTGCAAGACAAATGCTGTCCCCGCTGTACTATCGCTCTGGTCCCTGATTTTCCCTTTTATTCATTTGTTTCTTTATTTATTTTGCTTTTTGGGTCACACCCGGCAATGCACAGGCGTTATTCCTGGCTCTGCACTCAGGAATCACTCCTGGTGGTGCTCGGGGGACCATATGGGATGCGGGGAATCGAACTCAGGTCGGCCAAGTCCAAGGCAAGCGCCCTCCCCGCTGTGCTATCGCTCCAGCCCCTGATTTTCCCTTTTAAAGTCACCTGAGCTTTAAGGTTGGGGCTGGGGAGAGCAGGCAAGTTGAGTTGCTGTTTGTATGTTTTGCACGCGGGGTTCGAATCTCCTACCCCACAGTATGTGGTCCCCCCCACCCCCCAAAAAAATCCCATGGGGCTGGAGAGATAGGTACAGGGGATAGGAAGTTTCCCTTGCACATGATCAATCTAGGTTCGATCCCCAGCATTCCACCGGGTCCCACGAGCACCCCCAGGGGTAGTTCCTGACCACCACCTGGTTGGCCCCCCCAAAAAATTGAAAAAAAAAAGCCCCAATTCAGGGCTGGAGTGATAGCACAGCGGGGAGGGCGTTTGCCTTGCATGCGGCCGACCCGGGTTCGATCCCCAGCATCCCATAGGGTCCCCCGAGCACCGCCAGGAGTAACTCCTGAGTGCATGAACCAGGAGTGACCCCTGTGCATCGCCGGGTGTGACCCAAAAAGCAAAAAAAGAAAAAAAAGTGCAGGGGCTGGAGAGATAGCACAGCGGGGAGGGCGTTTGCCTTGCACGCGGCCGACCCGGGTTCGATCCCCAGCATCCCATAGGGTCCCCTGAGCACTGCCAGGGGTAATTCCAGGAGTAACCCCTGAGCATCGCCGGGTGTGACCCAAAAAGCAAAAAAAAATCCCCCAATTGATAGTCCTTTCCCATGCACCCCCCGCCCCCAGCCCCTGCCTTCACCCTCACCCCCACCCCCCACCCCATTCTGCTCCTTCCACTCCAATCCGCCTCCCCTGCCAGATCTTGCCCCGGGACGGAATCACCCGGGGCTGCTTCTGTCTCCGCAGACACTCTGGAAGGCTCGAACCCTACCATGCGGGGTGTCTTCCAGCGGATCCTGGCCCAGCAGGGGTGGCCGGGCCTGTACCGAGGCATGACCCCCACCTTACTGAAGGTCCTGCCAGCTGGTGGCATCAGCTGCGTGGTATATGAAGCAATGAAGAAGACCCTGGCCGTCCAGGCAGGGCGCTAAGTGACATCCGCGGAGCGGGCCCGGACCGGCCAGAGCCCGTATCCCGTGGACCCCCAAAGAACCCTCCAGGTTCTGGCCCCCCACCCGGGGGAGCGTTGCGGGGCGGCTGTCGTCAGGAGATGCCAGCTGGGGGGGTCTGCTTTTGGAGGATTCCTGCGGCCCCCGCTGGGTTTAGACTCATTCGGCTTGTCCTGGTGCCAAGGGCCAAGGGGTGATGGAGAATATGGACAAGAATAAAGAGATTTCCCCAGCCAACGCCTGACATAACTGGGTCCAGGACATGCACTGGGTGGAGGGCCACACCTGGAGGTGGGGGGGTTACCCAGGCTGGACTCCCGGTTCTGTCCCCAGCCATCACTCCTGGTAGGGCTGGGTGGGTGGGAAGTGGATCTTGGGTGGGTCACCTGGAAGGCGTGTCCCCCTCCTGAAATTCCTTAGCCAGGTCTGGGTACCCTGAGCTCTCCTTGATCCCAAATGGGAACTGGAATGCAGGGTGGTGCCTCTGTCCGAGAGAGAAACTGAGGGACCAAGGTTTGGGGAGAAGGTCCCAGGAGAATACCACCAAAGGAGGGAGTTTGATCCCCGGTCCCCCACAGGGTCCCCCGAGCACCGCCAGGAGCGATCCCTGAGCACAGAGCTGAGGAGTCAGGCCTCAGCACCGCCGGGTGCGGCCCCCAAAGCAAACAAAAAGAAAACCAGGGTTCCCTTGATCCCTAAGGCAGGGGAGCTGGTTTCACGGGTCCGGGGAGAGAAGCGGAGTGTATGCGTATGTGTGTGTATGTGTGTGTCTCTAGATTTTTGGACGGAGGCAAAAAACATTCCTAAGGCATTCCTGGGTTTGCTCTGTGTGTGTGTGTGTCTCTAGATTTTTTGCATTTTTTTTTTTTTGCTTTTTGGGTCACACCCGGCGATGCTCAGGGGTTCCTCCTGGTTCCTCCTGGCTCTGCACTCAGGAATTACCCCTGGCGGTGCTTAGGGGACCATATGGGATGCTGGGAATCGAACCCGGGTCGGCCACGTGCAAGGCGCGTGTACGTGTGTGTCTAGATTTTTGAACGGAGGTAAAAAAAAAAAATTCCTGAAGCACTCCTGAGTTTGCTGTGTGTGTCTCTAGATTTTTGCTTTTTTTTTTTTTTCTTTTTGGGTCACACCCAGCAATGCACAGGGATTACTGCTGGCTCATGCACTCCTGGCGGTGCTCCGGGGACCCTATGGGATGCTGGGAATCGAACCCGGGTCGGCCGCGTGCACAGCAAACGCCCTCCCTGCTGTACTCTCTCTGCAGCCGGAGTCTCTAGATTTTTGAACGGAGGCAAAAAAAGCCTTCCCGAGGCGCTCCTGGGTTTGCTCCCGGGCCATTTCCCGCGCCCCGGAAACCCTTCGCCCTCCAAGGCCTCAAGCAGGACACGTGCTCGGGCGCCGGAGTCAGGCTCCGGGATCACCCCCAGGCCTCAAGCCCGAGACCCGGGCAGCCCGTCGCCGGGGCCCACGTCGCCCGCCAATCACTCCGGCGTCAGCGAATCCGCGCTCGCCGACGGGCGCTCGGCCCCGCCCCAATGCAGTCGCGCCGCCCATTGGCTCCCCCCAAAGCCGGCACCGTCCCTCCGCCACTGCCGTTGGCCGGACGCCGTGTCAGTCACCTGACGCCTCCCCCCATTGGCCGAGGACCAGGACTTGAAAGGGATGCTGGTTAACCGGGGGGGGGGGGGGGGAAGCACGCCAGGCCCGCCCCCGGAGCGCGCCGGCGCATAGGCGGAAGGCGCCGCCAATCTCCGCAAGCCCCGCCCCCGGCGCGTCCCCATTGGCTCGGGCGCCCCGAGGCTCGCACCCGCGGGCGCCCAGCCCGTTCAAAAGGGGGCGCCTGGGTCAGCCCCCGTCCCCGCCCTCGCACTTCGCGAGTCCTCCTCCGTCCGGCTGCCGAGGCCGCCCCGTTCATCCCGGGCCTCCGCTCCGCCCGGGGGCGCCGCCCGCGTCTCCGCCCCGCCGGCCGGCCGCGCCGCCATTGCCTCCGCGAGCTGTCGTTCTCGCGCCGCCTCCCGCCCCCGCCCTCCGCGGGCGGCCCCGATTGGCCGCCCGGCGCAGGCGCGCGCCATTGGCTGCGCCGCGGCGCCGGCCGCGCGCCATTGGCCGCGCCGCGGCGCCGGCCGCGCCCCATTGGCCCCGCGCCGCCGTCCGTCACGCCCCGGCGGGAGGGGGCGGGCCGGCGCGCCGCTGGCTCTCCCAGGGTGCCCCGCGGCCGTGTGGAGCGAGCGAGGCCTTGTTCCCGCGTTGAGCCGCCGCCGCCGCCTCCGCCTCAGCCTCCGCGCCAGGCCCGGCCCCGCCGCGCCATGTCCGACTACAGCACGGGAGGACCCCCGCCCGGGCCGCCGCCGCCCGCCGGCGGGGGCGGCGGCGCCGGGGGCGCCGGGGGGGGCGGCCCGCCGCCAGGCCCGCCGGGCGCGGGGGACCGGGGCGGCGGCGGCCCGGGTGGCGGCGGCCCCGGGGGCGGCGGCCCGGGCGGCGGCGGCGGCGGCGGCCCCGGGGGCTCGTCCGGGGGCCCCTCGCAGCCGCCCGGCGGGGGCGGCCCGGGCATCCGCAAAGACGCCTTCGCCGACGCCGTGCAGCGGGCGCGCCAGGTGAGGAGGCCGCGGGCGCGCGCACGGGCGGGCGGGGGCGCGCGCGGGTGGGGTCACGTGCGCGCGCGCGCGCGGGGTCGCGGGCCGGGGTCACGTGGGGGCCGCGCGGCGCGGGGGGGGGGGCGGGGGGGCGGCCCCGCGCGCGCGCGCGTGCGGGCAGCTCGGGCTGGTGGAGGGCGCGGGGGGTGGAAGGGGGCGTGCGCGCTGGGGGACCCCCCGCTGGACATCTCGGCTCTGCTGCTGCTGCTGCCTCCACCTCCCCAGTTTGCAGGCCACGGGGCGGGTTGGCGGGTTTGGGGGGGTGGTCGTGAGCCCTTGCCCGGGTGCGGGGCGTGCAGGGAGACACGAGTCGCCCGTGCCAAGGAAGGACCAAAAAGTGAACGCGGGGGTCGGGGGGGGGGGGGGGGTCCCAGTGGGTGACGGCCGGGGCAGCACTTGGGTGAAAGGGGGACCCCCCCTCCCCAGATCTTTCCTTTATTTTTTTTCTTTCTGCACTTCCGGTGACTTTCTGGGGGGCGTCTGGTGGTGTGTGTCCACCCCCTGCCCACCTCCACTCCGGGCGTGTTTTGGTAAAAGAGACCCCCGAGTTTGCAGGCTTGGGGACAGCCTGGAAGGGAAAAGTGCCCGGTGCTGCGGGTGGGGTGATGAGCGCTGCCCTCCCCCCCCCCCCGGGACCCCCCACCCTGGGGGTCTTGGCCACCCACTCAGGGTGCCCGGTAGGCGGAAGCCCCCTCCGCCCATGGATGCGTCACCTCTCCAGCTGCTCTGACCCAGGGGTGCTGCTGGCTGGCTGGCTGGCTGGGGGGGGTGGGTGAGTGCCACTGTGGGTCGGTCTGGGAGGCCCCGGTGGGAAACTCCGGTTGCTCACCTGTTGCGGAAGCAAGACCCAAGTGGCCAACAGCACGGGGGGTGCTCATGTTCCTAGAGCAGCCTTGGTGTTGGCCGGAGGGCTTCACGGCCCCCCCCCCCCAGTTTTGCACGTCCCCAGGGCGAGGCGGGGTTGGATCCCCCATACCCGGATTCCGGGGGTCGGGTAGCTTGACAAGCCGTTTCCAGTGCACCCCGCGGGTGGACAGACCCAAGGACCCCACCTGCACACAGCACCGGCCCCCACAGCCCCCCAGACCCTGTCAAGCGGACCTCTGGAAGTCCCGGGCTTGCTCTGGAATTGGGGGGGTGGGGGCTGCCCTCTGCAGGCAGGCACCCACCTTCCAGCCCTGGTATATTCCTGGCAACGGCTCTGAGCGCGTTCGTGGCTGGGGACTTCGGCGTGGTCACTCACTCTGTGCTCCCGACCTTCCCAGATCGCAGCCAAGATCGGAGGGGACGCCGCCACGTCCGTGAACAACAGCACCCCGGATTTCAGTTTCGGGGGGCAAAAGAGGCAGTTAGAAGACGGAGGTAACGTGGCGGGGGGTGGGGGTGGTTGGTTGGTTGGTTATGGGGGCGCTGTTACTGTTTGGCGGGGCTTTGCCGTGTTGGGTCCTTCTCGTGGGGTCAGGTGACGGACACCGAGTCTCGGCCCTGTGCCCCCTTCTGCCCACACATCCCACGTCCGTTACCCATAGTAGCTGAAGAGGCATTATGGGTATTTGGAATTGGGGGTCTGGCCCGTTCCCCTCCAGACCCCTGCAAGGCCACCAGTCGGCCCCCCTCGTGAAAGCCTCGTTCCCGGGCCCGGCCTGACCTGTTCTCTCTCCCCCACAGATCAGCCCGAGAGCAAGAAGCTGGCGTCCCAGGGAGACCGTAAGTCCGCCGCGGGGAGCGGCTGCCGGGGCCGGGAGGGGGGCAGCTCCCGCCTTCCCCGGCCTCCTCAGGCACCGGGCCCTGAGCAGACAGCACCCCTCCTCTGGAGCCCCCGGGACCCCGGGCGTCGGGCAGAAATGGGGCGCGTGCTGCCGGGCAGAGACTCAAGCCCTGGCTTTGGGGGGGTCAGGGGAGCCCCGGGGGGCTGCACAGGGGCCCCAGAAAGGAGCCTGACCCCCCTTTCCTTTGGCTTTCCTCTTCCCAGCCCTCAGCTCTCAGCTCGGACCCATCCATCCTCCTCCCAGGTAAGCTGAGGTTTGCGCCCTTACCTCCCCGTGGGGGCCGGGGTGGGGGCTGTAGCTGGGGCTGCCCTGTCGGGCTTACATGCCCATCCAGTCGGGGGAACTGAGGCAGCTGCACTGCCTCCCCCTTCCCTGGGGGGGGGCGGTTGCCAGGGCCCAGGTGGACCCTGGGACGGGCGCTCAGGCTTGGCCAAGTGACCTCCCAGAGGCAGGCTGGACCCTGGGTGTCCTCCCGCAGCTGCACTGCAGTGGCCGCCCTGGGAGGTGGGAGCCCCTGGGATCCGCTTTAGACAGATACTCACCCCCACCGCCCAGGCCCGGGTGAACCTGGCACAGAAAGCATCTTGCTGGGGCCGGACCGATAGCACAGCGGGCAGGGCGTTTGCCTTGCACGCGGCTGACCTGGGTTCCATCCCCGGCATCCCATATGGTCCCCGAGCACCGCCAGGAGTGATTCCTGAGTGCAAGAGCCAGGAGGAACCCCTGTGCATTGCTGGGCGTGACCCAAAAAGCAAAAAAAGAAAAAAAATCTTGCTTCCTTCCTCCCCGTTTTTAACGGGCTGAGAGTTCGGGGAGGCCCCACCCGATGGACTGCCGGGGTCGCTTTCCTGCCCACTGAGCCACCAGCTAGGAGACGGCCCGTCCTGGGCTGGGGACAGCATCCCGGGCCAGACCTTTTGGGGGTTGGACTCTTGGCACCTAACCCCGCGCCCCCAGCCCCGCCCTCACTGCCTGCGTCTGTGCCTGCAGGACGTCGGTGACAGAGGAATATCGGGTCCCAGACGGCATGGTGGGACTGAGTGAGTGGGGTCCCTGGCCTTGGGAAGCCCCTTAGCCCCCCTGGGGCGGTGCCAGCCCCGAGGCCTCTTGTGCCCCGTCCTCCCGTCCCCCCCCCCGCAGATCGGGGCTGCGTGTCTGGCGCAGTGGCCGCTGGCCCCCCCGGCCCGGCGCCCGACCCATCTGTCCCCTCCTTTCTTCGCCCAGTCATCGGCCGGGGCGGGGAGCAGATCAACAAGATCCAGCAGGACTCGGGCTGCAAAGTGCAGATTTCTCCAGGTAGGGGTGCTGGGGCGGCTGGGGGGCGCTGGGGAGGGGTGGGAGGTGGCTCTTGGAGGACTGAACCCCTCGCCTCATTCCGGGACGCTCCTGCAGGACTAGGGGGCCCTCTGGGGTACCAGGGGTTGAGCTTGTGCCGGCCGCGCGTCTGGGAGGTGCCCTCCGTGCTGTCCTGTGGCTCTGGCCCCTCACAGGCCTGCAGGGGGTCAGGTCTGGGGCCTCCTGCTGGGGCTTGAGGCTCCCTCTGGCCAGGGTCCCGCAGATCCAGGTCCTGACGCCCCCTCTCCTCTCGCAGACAGCGGCGGCCTTCCCGAGCGCAGTGTGTCCCTCACGGGGGCCCCCGAGTCCGTGCAGTAAGTCCTCGTCCTTCCCACCTCCTTCCACTCTGGGCCTTTGCTTGCCAGGGGGGCTGGCCTGGGCAGTTGCCTCTCGGCTCTAGGAATTGCGGGTGGGGGGGGATTGGGGGACGCTGGAACCCTCTCTTGGTCCTGGGCTCAGCCCCCCGCTCTGCCGAGATCTTGGTCTCCGAGCGTCTCTACCCCGCGTGTGTCCTTCCCAGGAAAGCCAAGATGATGCTGGATGACATTGTGTCTCGGGGCCGCGGGGGCCCCCCGGGACAGTTCCACGACAACGCCAACGGGGGCCAGAACGGCACCGTGCAGGAGATCATGATTCCGGCGGGGAAGGCCGGCCTGGTCATCGGCAAGGGCGGGGAGACCATCAAGCAGCTGCAGGTGTGCGGGTGGCGCCTGCCTGGGCCCCGGGACCCCGAGCCCCTCTGGGGGTGCCCTGCCGGCCCCCTCACCCGCCTCTTCCTCCGGGACGCAGGAGCGGGCCGGTGTGAAGATGATCCTGATTCAGGACGGCTCCCAGAACACGAACGTGGACAAGCCTCTGCGGATCATCGGGGACCCGTACAAAGTGCAGGTGGGCGCGCCCGAGACGGAGTGGGGCGGGTTCTGCCCCCCAAACCCCCCCAGCACGGCCCGGGCGCCCGGGCCGTGACTCTGACCTTCTGGTGACTGGCTGGGAAAGAAGGCGCTGGGGGGGGGGGGGGGGCGGGCGGTGCGGCGTTGGTGGCCGGCGGGCCCCGCGCCTCACGCCCCGTGTCCACAGCAAGCCTGTGAGATGGTGATGGACATTCTCCGGGAGCGTGACCAGGGCGGCTTTGGGGACCGGAACGAGTACGGGTCCCGGATCGGAGGCGGCATTGACGTGAGCGTGGGCCGGGCGGGGTCCGGGGTGGGGGCGGGGCGGGGCGGGGGGGGGCGCCGGCGCCAGCTGACCGCTCTGTCCCCTCAGGTGCCCGTGCCCCGGCATTCGGTGGGGGTGGTCATCGGCCGGAGCGGGGAGATGATCAAGAAGATCCAGAACGACGCGGGCGTGAGAATCCAGTTCAAGCAGGGTGGGAGCCCCCTCCCCTCGCTGGGCCGGCAGGGGTGGAGCGGGGCGGCCCTTGGAGGAGGGTGCCTGGCGCGGGGGGCCCAGGCTCTGGGTCTGACCCCTTTCCCTGCGCCCCGCAGACGACGGAACGGGCCCCGAGAAGATCGCACACATCATGGGGCCCCCGGACCGGTGCGAGCACGCGGCCAGGATCATCAACGACCTGCTGCAGAGCCTCCGGGTAGGGGCCGGGAGCGGGCGGGGGGGCAGGGCCAGGTCGGCTGGGCTGCGGGGGCCTCATTGGCTCGTCCTGCCTTTCCAGAGCGGCCCTCCAGGCCCTCCAGGCGGTCCTGGCATGCCCCCCGGGGGCCGGGGCCGAGGGCGAGGCCAAGGCAACTGGGGGCCCCCCGGCGGGGAGATGACCTTCTCCATCCCCTCCCACAAGTGCGGGCTGGTCATCGGCAGGGGTGAGTAGGGCCGCCCTTGGGTCGCCCCCTTCCTGCCTGTCCTGGTCCTCTCGCCGGCCGCCCCCTCACCGCCTGCCCACCCGCGCGGCCCCCGCAGGCGGTGAGAACGTGAAAGCCATAAACCAGCAGACGGGGGCCTTTGTGGAGATCTCCCGGCAGCTGCCCCCCAACGGGGACCCCAACTTCAAGCTCTTCATCATCCGGGGCTCGCCCCAGCAGATCGACCACGCCAAGCAGCTCATCGAGGAGAAGATCGAGGTACGGCAGGCGCAGGGGACCGCGGCCCAGCCAGCGGGGGCTCCCCGTTCCCCGGTGGTCCTCACGCTCTTCTCCTCGCCCCCTCCCCAGGGTCCGCTCTGCCCTGTTGGACCAGGCCCGGGGGGCCCGGGCCCTGCTGGCCCCATGGGGCCCTTCAACCCTGGGCCCTTCAACCAGGGGCCGCCGGGAGCCCCCCCTCAGTGAGTCCTCCTCATCCCCTGGGGGTTGGGGGGCGGGGGGCGTCCTGACCGGCCTGTTGTTGAGGCCGGCTCCTGGGGGTCATGAGAATGCTGGGGGGCGGGGGGCTGGCTCCACTGCTGATGGGGGTGGGGGGGGTGGCCACTCAGGGCTCTGGCACCCCCAACTGTGGCCGCTGGCCGGGGCCTTGGGGCGGCTCTGCTCAGACCCTCCCCTTCTCTCTATCCTGCAGCGCTGGGGGGCCCCCCCCTCACCAGTACCCACCCCAGGGCTGGGGTAACACCTACCCGCAGTGGCAGCCGCCTGCCCCTCATGACCCGAGTGAGTGGGGCCTCGGGGCGGGCTTGGGGGGGGGGCGGGGGTCCAGCTCCCCCAGGGCGCCCGCTCACGTGCGCCCCCCGCCCCCCGCAGACAAGGCCGCCGCAGCAGCTGCCGACCCCAACGCCGCCTGGGCCGCCTACTACTCGCACTACTACCAGCAGCCCCCCGGCCCCGTGCCCGGCCCCGCGCCCGCGCCCGCGGCCCCCCCGGCCCAGGGCGAGCCCCCGCAGCCCCCGCCCGCCGGCCAGTCAGACTACACGAAGGCCTGGGAAGAGTATTACAAGAAGATCGGTGAGTGGCCGGCGGGGTGGCCGGCGTCGGGCGGGGCGGGGCTGGCGCGGCCGGTCCCGCTGACCCCGTGCCGCGCCCCCAGGCCAGCAGCCCCAGCAGCCCGGAGCGCCCCCGCAGCAGGACTACACCAAGGCCTGGGAGGAGTACTACAAGAAGCAGGGTGAGCGCGCCCGCCGGCGGCCGGGGTGCCCCCGCGCCCCGCGCCCAGCCCCGCTCACTCTCTGCCTCCCCACAGCGCAAGTGGCCACCGGCGGGGGCCCCGGAGCCCCCCCCGGCTCGCAGCCGGACTACAGCGCCGCCTGGGCTGAGTACTACCGGCAGCAGGCGGCCTACTACGGACAGACCCCCGGGCCCGGCGGCCCCCAGCCCCCGCCCACGCCGCAGGGCCAGCAGCAGGCAAGTGGGAACTGCCACCCCCCTCCTCCCCCCTTCTCCTTCCAGCCCCCGGCGACCGTCCATCCTGCCTTAGTGGGCAGCGCCGGCAACCCCTTCCCCTGCGGGGTGTGCCCGTGATGCCCGCCGCCGCCGCCGCGGGAGCACCCTGGAGCCGGGGCAGCGCGCCGGGTGTCAGGTGGACGGAAGAGGCCTCGGGCGCGGCCCGCTCGCTGGACGCTCGTGTCTGTGGACTGACGCGGACGGACGCCGCGAGGGAACTCCTGGACTGGCTGGTGGGCGGTGCCCGGGCCGCCGCTCGCACACTCGGAAGCCGGCCGCGCGGGGAGGAAAAGCGTCTCGTCCGCGCCCCGCCCCCACGTCGTTTTCTCCTGGGTTTTCTTCTTCTGGTTCCCTTTCTTCCGAAGCCCCACCCGTCCCGTGTCCGGGTGACGGGCGCGGGCCGGCCGCTGTGGCCCAGCCTCGGCTCTGGGGAGGCCGCGGGGGCGCGGCGGGGGAGGGGAAGGGCGCCGGGGTGCCGGTCTCCGCACCCCCAGCCCACCCGCCTGCCGCCGTGTCCCGCTGGTCGCTCGCGTCTGTGAAGTGGGCGTGACGGTCGTGCCGCCTTCCAACCTACCTCACAGGGATGTTGTGGGGACACCGTGACTGGCTGTGGGTGCGACGCGCCGGGAGCCGCCCCCAGACCGAGGGCACCCCTCTCCCCTCCAGCCCTGAGCGCTGCTCGCTCGCTCTCTCGCCGGCTCTCCTTCCTGCGGCCCCTGCTTCCTCCTCCTCCTCCTCCTCTTTTCCTCCTCCTCCTCCTCCTCTTCTTCCTTCCTCCTCCGTCTGTCCAGGAGCCAGCCTGCCTCCGCCGAGTCCCGGGGAGCACTTGAGCACTCTGCTGGCGGCCCCCGGCCGGCCGCAGCCCAGGTGACCGACTCCTGTCTCTCCCCTCCTCTCCGCAGGCTCAATGAAACGAATGAATGTGAACTTCTTCATCTGTGAAAATCTTTGATTTTTTTTTTTTAGTTCTGTTTGGGGGCTGGGGGGTTGCCCCCCTCGGTGGTCCCCCCGTGGGTTTGGCGCCACGGCCAGTGCGGGGCCGCGCAGCCCGGGCTCTCGCCTGCTCCTTCTGTGTCTCTCACATGCTTCTTTCTTTCACAATTGGGATCCTTCATGTTGAGCCAGCCATAGAAGAGAGCGAGAACTCTAATCTCTGCCAAAAAAAAAAAAGAAATTTAAAAAAAAGCAAAGTGAAACTTATAAATTTATATATATATATAAATATATATATATCTATACCTCCCTGCCCGCCCGTCCCGAAACTGCCTCTCTCTGGGGAAAGCAATTTGCAATTCTTCATTTTCTGCCCACCAACCCGGCCCTCTTCGTGTTTTTAAAATAAACTTTTGCAAAGGAAAAAAAAAAGTCACTCTTGATATTTCTTCTCTTTTTTTCCTTCCTTTTTTTTTTACTTAGAATTGGAACATTCCTTGGCGCAGGTGTGTTGATACTTGCAGGACCCCCCCATCGCCCGCTCTCTGTCCCCCTTCTCGCTCCTCCCCGCCCCGCTCCCCCCTCCCCGCTCCCAGGACCGGTCTGTCATGGCTCATCTGTTCAAGAGGACATTGAACAACAAACTGAGAACAAAACAAAAAAACTTGTATGGCAGTTTTTACTTTTTATCGCTCGTTTTTAACTTCACAAATAAATGGTGACAAAACCTCCCTGTGTGTGCCGGGTGCCGTGTGTCGCCCTCGCCCTCCTCCCGCTCCCCCCCGCTCCCCGTCCTACCCCGCAGTCCCGAAGCAGATGTTTGTTCCTTCCAGATGTAACAGTCCCGAAAGAACGGTGGTTTGGGAATGACAAGCTTTGTGTTGGTTTTTTTTCCCTTTCTTAGTTCTTTTTTTTTTTTAAGAAAACGGTTAACGAGAAATGGCTCCGCGGGCGCATCGTGCTTCTCTAACTCTTCAATTTGGGGCTTGGTTTTTGGGTTGTTTTTTTTTTTTTTTGGTTAAATAAAGTGCTTTTTGTCTAACGCTGTGTGTTGCTTGCAGTACTGTTCATGGAAGAAGCAGGTTCACTGGGGCCGGCTGCTTCCCTCCCCACCCCCCCACTCCGCCCCAACCCCGTCTCCCCTTTGGGAGCTGCAGGAGCACAGCAGGCAAGGAAGGGTCCCCTGGGAGCCGGGTCCGTTCCCATAGCAAAGCCACGGTGCCAGCATGGCACAGAGGTGCTGCGGGCCATCCCGCTTGGTGGGCAGGACCCCGCTCCTCCTCCCCCAAGCCCCACACAGAGTCTCACGCAGGGGGTCGTGACAGCCTAGCACCAGTGCTCAGAGTCCCCTGTCACCCCAAGGGTGTGGGCACACAGGTTGACTGGGCCCTGTAGGTGGAGCCTCTGGCACCCCTGCCCCCCACCAGGAGATAACAACTGACCCTAGATCTCCTGGCAGCCCACCCCACCAGGAGTGATCCCAGAGCACCGCCACGTGTGGCCCAGACCCCAACTGTCCCCTTCCCACTCCTGGGCCGAGCAAGGTTCACCTGAGTCCTGGGGGTCACAGGGACAGCAGAGCGGAGCCCTCACCGGAGACTCTGTACGACTGAGCAGCATCTGGCGAAAACGACGTCCGGGGCCGCCTCGGCTAAGATCTAGCGGGGAGCACCGTTCTCAGCCCCGGACAAGAAGCGGCCCTCTGTCCCTCCCTCCCGGCCCCGCTCTCGCTTAGTCACCGCAGGCGGGGACTCGGGAAAGCTCTCTCTCCCTGAACCAAGGTCCAGAGAGAACACGGCAGGTACTGGCACAACCCGGGTTCGATCCTGGTACGTCTCATCCCTAAGCCCCATCAGGAGTGATCCTGGGCATCCTGAGCTCTTGGGAACCGAAACCAAATCCAACAGCCAGGCTTCCCGGCCCGAGATGGTGCACGTGTGGGTTTGCCACGAGCCCTGGGCCATTGCCCCCCAAGTTCAGGCCCTTGCAGGGCCTCGGGGTGTCTGTCTGAGGTGTGTGTGTCAGTGTGTGTGTGTGTGTGTGTGTGTGTGCCTGGGCTCTGTGTGCCTGGGTGTCTGTGTCCAGGGTATGTGTGTGTCTGAGGTGTATGTGTGTCTGTGCCTGTGTCATGTGTGTGTGTGTGTGTGTGTATCTGCGCGTGTCTGTGTGTGTGTCTGGGCTCTGTGTGTCTTTGTCCAGGGTATGTGTATGTCAGGTGTGTGTGTCTGTGTCTGTTGTGTGTATCTGTGTGTGTGTGTCTGTGTCTGTTGTGTGTATCTGTGTGTGTGTCTGTGTCTGGTGTGTGTGTCTGTGTGTGTGTCTGTGTCTGTTGTGTGTATCTGTGTGTGTGTCTGTGTCTGGTGTGTGTGTCTGTGTGTGTGTCTGTGTCTGTTGTGTGTATGTGTGTGTGTCTGTGTCTGTTGTGTGTGTGTCTGTGTGTGTCTGTGTCTGTTGTGTGTATCTCTGTGTGTGTCTGTGTCTGGTGTGTGTGTATATGTGTGTCTGGTCTTTGTGTGTGTCCAGAGTATGTGCGTGTCTGGAGTGTGTGTGTGTGTGTGTCTGGGGGCGGGGTGTGCATGTGTCTGCCATGTCGGGGATCCAACCCAGGATCTCCCACCTTCAGCACAAAAAGCCCTGCCCCTGAGTGCCCCACACTGGCCCCTCGTCCTAGGTCTTGGGAGCCCCATTCCCAAATGGAATCGCTTTCAGGCCAGAGCTGGGAGCCCGCAGCCTCTGTCCGCTGCCCCTTGGACCGAGCAAGAGCACCTTCCCTCCTGGGCTCCTGGGGGACCCTTGGGCTGTGACCACAGCGGGCCTGGCTATGCTGGCGGGGGGTGGGGGAGGAGGAGCTGGGAGGTGGGGGGGGGCAGCGAGCAGGGAGCACCCACCATCCGAAGCAGTTCCTTCTGCTGGTAGAAGGTCAGCACGGGCTGGCATGTGGCATAGTAGGTCTGCAGTTGGCGGTGGACGGCCAACGTGCTGTCCCAGTCTTCACGCTCCACGTCGCCCCGCCGTCTCGCTCTGTCCACCATGGTCCTCATGGAACACTCAAACACGATCACCATGTTGGGGGCCCGACCCACCTAGGCATTATTTTGTGATTGTTTTTTTTTTTGGGGGGGGGGGTCACACCCGGCAATACTCAGGGGTTCCTCCTGGCTCTGCACTCAGGAATCACCCCTGGCGGTGCTCGAGGGACCATATTGGATACTGGGAATATCGAACCCAAGTCAGCCGTGTGCAAGGCAAAACGCCCTACCCGTACCCGCTTTGCTATCTGTTCTAGCCCCTATTTTGTGATTCTTTTGTTTGTTTGTTTGGTGCACCACGCCCAGCGGTGCTCAGGGCTTAGTCCTGGCTCTGCACTCAGGGCTGACTCCGGGCTCTGTGCTCAGAGATCACTCCTGGCAGTGCTCGGGAGACCCTACTAGGTTCCGGGAATCGAACTCAGATCTTGGCCATGTGCAAGATGAGTGCCTTCCCCGCTGGACTACCGACCCAGCCCCTGTGTTCCCTGCTGTAGCCCAAACCCACATGAACCCAAATCTAAGATTGTTCCAGAACAGTGACGAGAGTCCTGGGGTGCAAGCGGGAGGCATCGCAGAGGGAAGGCCCCGGCCGGCCTCGACCTGTTTGAATCCCAGCACATGTGATTCCCCTGAGCACCGCCAGGGGTCGCTACTGAGCACAGAGCCAGGCAGGACCCAAAACCATCACTATAACCCCCAACTCCCCAAAAGCTAATTGGGTCTATACTTCTTGTAGTTTCCATGTTTTCATTTGAAGAATTTTCTTGAGGTTTGGTGGAGTTTTTGTTGTTACTGGGTTTGTTTGTTTGTTTGTTTGAGGGGAGTGGAGTCATGTTTTGGGTCACACCCGGCAATGCTCAGGGGTTACTGCTGGCTCTGCACTCAGGAGTTACTCCTGGCGGTGCTCAGGGGACCAAATGGGATGCTGGGAATCGAACCCGGGTCGGCCGCGTGCAAGGCAAACGCCCTACCCGCTGTGCTATCGCTCCAGCCCCTGGGAGTTGGTCTTTTTATTGATTTGATTTTCGTTGCTTTGTATTTGGGGGCTACACCCGGCTGTGCTCGGGCCTTTGATCTGGTTTTGAGCTGAGAAAGACCCTAGCCTGACAGATCTGAACAGACCCCAAGCACAAGAAACCCTGCCCTGACACTCAGCCCGTGAGAATTCTCCAGAACACCCAGTCTCCCAACATGGGGCGGCCTGCCTTATCTGTGCGCCCCACACTTTTTTTTTTATCCGTTTGTTTTTGGGCCACACCCGTCCATGCTCAGGGTTTACTTTTGACTCTGCACGCAGGAATTACTCCTGGTGGTGCTTGGCTTCCCTATGGGATGCTGGGGATCGAACCCCGGGTCGGCCGTGTGCAAGGCAAACACTCTCCCTGCTGTCCTATTGCTCTGGCCACTCCCCTGACACACACTCAATTGTTTTAAAAAGAAAACTGAAGGGGGTTGGAG